GCTTTTTCAAGAAAGTGGTTCGTGATGTAAATAATTTCAAAAGCATTCTATTGACTCTGTCCCTCAGACATGAACTTATGTTGGCATACTACCTGGACATGCCCAGCCTGTTTAAACCAACGAAGTAAAAGGAGTATCAAATGTTTCACTGGACATTCTGGCCTCTTCTGTCAAGCAAGTGATTGAGAAGAAATGTAGAAATCTGAGCAGTGTATCTCTGGCCACAACTGCATACATACATGGAACAAGATATACCAAGGGAATGTTTGTGTCAGTTGGAAGCACAAGTGGACTTCCTGACTTTTGTAAGATTGTCCATGTGTTGCTTGTATGCAACAAGCTATTCTTTCTTCTGGAATCTTTCTCAGCCTGGTATTTGGAGCACCTCAGGTGTTACGAAGTCTGCAAGAAAGACCCTGCTCAACTGATGCAGTGTTTCCCATTAATTACTGAGACTGTGGCGGCCCGCCACGGTCTAATTTGTCCCACCACAGTCTCAGAATGAACCGAAAAAAATTCTTACACTTCTCATAATAACATAAAAGATCTGTAACTTGTGTTTCGCGCCGCTGCTTCAGCAAAGACTCCCAGTCCACTTTTATTTTCAGTGGAAAAACAACATTTTAAGATAAAAAGAAATCTTTAACATTTCCCAAATTAAAAATACGAGAGTGTCCTTGATAATTCTACAAAACGACGGTTCATGTTAAGGCCATCAGTTAGAATTATATCTCCGTCGATTAGGAGAAATAAAGTTGTTTTCGTTTGTAATAATTTATTCATCAAAATTTCTTTGTATTTGTCAATCAATATTAAATATTATTATATATGCCTTCTCTTTCAACAAGACTCACATTATTCCCTTTTTGTCTGGCGATAGTTTATAGTGGTTGCTAAGCAACCCATTAAGGCGCGCACCGAAAAGACACGGAACGAAGAAGAAGGAGAAGGAGAAAAAGAAGAAGAAGAAGAAGACGACGACGATGAAGACGCATGGTTAGCAGGTTTGTTACAGTGTTTGTGAATTATGTACGTGATAAAACAATAATGATCATAAACAAAAGCGACAGTTGCAAACGTGACATTAATATGTTCGTTATTTGTGATAGATATCTGAAATTAAACTGAATGAATAAAGTACATAACATGACGCCATGGTGATGAGTTTCCATTGTTCTGTATTGATTCAGGCTCATCATGGCTGAGACATCAACTTATTTTGCAATCAGAATAATGTTTCAGTGTAATTTTGTAATGTTGCAATATGAATCCTGTTCATTTATTTATTTATGTTTATATTTGAATAGGTCAATATGGTGAAAATAAAAAAAAACAGACCTTTCGTCACTGTGAAAAGTTACCCCTCAAAAGGAAAGTCAACGGTGTTGAGGAGATTTTTGAAAGGGAGGACCCCTTTGCCCCCAAAGCCCACTGAGGTTGGTTGCTGCTTGTTTGCACCACCAGCTACTGGCAGGGACTTACATGAGGAGCATGAAAGTGGTACCAGCAGCAGCAGCAGCCAGAAGAAGCTGGATACCGTGGAGGCCTGGAAGAGGACAAGAGAGACACTTCTCGGTGTGAGTGCAGAGCTCTTCTGTCCTCCTGACACTGCAGCCTGCACAGTGTGTCAAGTTTCCCTCAACAGTGAGGATGTTGAAATCTGGCGATGCAGTGACTGTGGCAGTGAAACATTCTTCTGTGCTGTCTGTGTCCAGACTGTTCATGAAGCCTCTGCTGTAGTGCATATGCTTGAAAAGTGGGAGGTTTGTGCTATTCAATATTTTTCTCCATTTTGCAAATGTTTAAACAAAAGGCATTTTTGTATCTCTGACAGTGTATTTTCAGTTTCCTAAAAAGAATTGTCCTAGAGTAGTACAGAATAGAGTGTGTATATAATACTTACCTTAGATAATGATGCCAAAATAAACTTTAATGTCTTCACTCTGTATTCTTGTTTCATAATGTACTGTGCACTAAAAAGTTTGTATTGTGATCTTTCTATTTAAGGAAGGTGAATTTCATTAAACTGTTCCTGTAGGCTTTAGGTGGCATTGGACAAGGAAGGATGGCCATCAATGTGACACGTCATATGCACGTCAAATAAAACAGTTTTATCAGCAAGGTAAATAATACAGTACATCAGAAACAGTTACATCCACCCTGCACAAAAAGAAAAGTTGCTAAAAACTACAGCGTTTAACAGCTATTCTGTCATGAATTGTAGGAAGGACTCATGATGTTTGGATGCAGTTCTGCCACTGTGAGATGGAAGTTGCGACACTTGTACGTTATGGCCTTTGGCCAGCCACAGTGAAGCAGCCTCAAAGTGCCATTTCCCTGAAGCTGATGGACATGATCTGCCGCTTACAGCTGGAATGTGGTGCATCACTGAAGGGTTTATGTGCTGCAATTCAGGGTTCCTCAGGTCCCTCCAAGGTTTGTTTATTAGTAGCTTCTGTCAATATATTCCTCTTTCACGATCACCTACATGCAAGGTTCCAATTTGAAAAACACCTTTTTATAACTGTCCTATTGTGATTATGATCATTTGCCTTATAGTGCCAAGACCTTTATGGAATACTTGTCAATGAGTCCTTTGAGGAATACAGACACTTCAGATACCAGATGTCTACACTGCGCCATCTTGGACCTGATACAACAGATGGGACACACTGTCCTCTCTGTCAGAGGTATGATGTATTCATGTGCAAAATTAGGAATGTTGTATTTAAAGCATTAATAGTTTGTGAAATGATAACACAATTAATTAATGAATTATTAATTAATTAAACAACAATTAAGACTAGTCAAATAATATTATCTGAAAGATCAGCATTCAGGCATATCATGGTCTGGATTACAAATGTTCCACTACACAGCATTTACTCTTACTGCACAATAACTGGATTTGCTTTTCTGGCTTCATGATCAAGAAAAAAAATGTTATGTTTAGTTTGGAAGTTGTCACAGATACCTAATGGCATACTTTAACTCTGACTGTCACTTATTATAGAATGATGGATGTCTGGTTCTTGCTGCGGATGGACTATTTGGACTTCCGAGGAAGAAATCGTCTGGAAGTAGTCTTGAAGGACCGAAGCACTTCAACCGATTCTTTTGCTCTCAAGATCTTGTTGATGCTTTTATTGGAGAGAACAACATTCTTCTGAGGAGGTAAAATTTATATATTTGTATTTAATACCTTCCTCCTTCATTACTGGGATGTAAAAATCTACTAAGTGTTAATGCAACATGGATTTGTTCACACATTTACCCTAGAAAAAATAATCTTTACATTTCTTGTATGTTTAGGACATATGATCAAATAGTGATTTCATCTCTCTTGCAGAGAAGTCAGATCAACTTTTGATTGTTATTTTCATGCTAATGGAATGATATGCGTAATTAGTGATCATGAATGTACTGGAGAGGCAAAATCTTGCCCTCCGTTGTCAATGCAAAATGTTAAGTGGAATCATACACCTACTGTGTGGACACTGATGAAGAGCCAGGAATAAATATGAATGTGTTCTTTGAAATGTATGCAATATATCAGTTATATTTATATATAACCAATAATACAAATGTGTTTGCAGTGTCATTTGAAAGAGTAATGCATGGCCAGCAATGTGAAGATAAAACATATACACCAACTTTTACAGGGTTGTGTCAGCTTTCAAGCAGGTAGTGCACTCAGGTCAAAGGTGAAGAACTCCAAATTGGATGAGACGGGTGTTTTTGGCATATCCTGTAAGCATGAACATCCACGTCGCTTTCTTAGTCTGAAGAGAGGTGAAAGGTAAATCCTAAGCTTGCACTTGCACATAATAATGTGGTGTTATGGTGGCCTGTTTTAATATGAAATCTGTTTTTTCTTTTAGCCTTTCGAATGCTGTCTACCTGCTAAAGGAACTGCAAGAACAGTTTGGGACAAGCAAAAAAATTGTCTTCATGTATGATATTGCTTGCAAATTAAAACCTCACTTGCAGGTAATTTTTTTATGCATCTTTTATTGCTTGTCTTCCAATATCTATATAGGTATTCTAGATAAGCAAAACTACTACTTCACATATATGTTTATGTAAGGCAAATACTATACTATACTGTACTGTATATGTATGTATATAATTTTTTGTTTCTGTTTCCCACAGAAGTTTTATCCAGATCTTCTGACAAAGAAGCTGACATTTGCTGTTCCTGCGTTCCATGCTTATGGACATGATGTTGCTTGTCAGGTTGTCATCATCATTTTTTGACTGTTAAAAGCTATGCTAGGCAGTTTATCACTTATTGAAATGATAAACTTCTGATTTTGTTTTGATTCTGTTTTGTAGATTTCATACAGCTGTAGGAATGTTGAAGGTGCAGGTTTAGCTGATGGAGAACAGCTGGAACGACTGTGGTCATACCTACGCCGTTTTGGTAAGGTGACTAAGGAAATGACACCATCACACAGAGTTGACCTGCTGACTGATGCTTTGCTGCACTACAGCTCAAAGATAAGAAACAGCCAAGGTAAAGGTGTAGTGTGTGTCTTTGACTCTCTCTCTCATGTCATTGTATACATGTTTCTTGAAGATGCTTTAACAATGTACAAACAACTTTTTAAGCAGTTATTATCTTTATCTGTTTAATATATTCTTTTGATCAAACTTTGTCTGGTTTGTAAAACAATTTATATGCTATGAAGACAAATACGACAATAATATAATGTCTTCCTTATTAAATCAATTTAAAGCAAAAGCCCTGGCTCTCAAAGCTGCAAAGGTCAACTCAGTTGAGGATGAGGCAAATGCAGAGATGGCTGAAATCATGAAACATACAAGTAAAACACAAAATGCATTGTAGGTTGGAAAAAAGTGTTGAAAAAGAGAAAAGTATTTAAATGTTATGAGGATAATTTTACTAATAATATACTTTCAGGTTTCAAAGTATTTAAGTATGTTATGTTTTTGTTTCAAGGCCTCACACAGCAAGATATACAAGTCTGGGCAAGCCAGTACCAGACAGAGGCCAGGCAGTCTGCAGAGTGGACCTGGGAAGAGGACTATGTCCGAAAACTGACGGAGCACCAGGAACTGTGAGTTTTTACAGCAACAAATGTTTAAGATATTCTAACTGCTTGAGAGGAAATTACAAATAACCTCTCTGTGTAGCTCAATACCACAGATAGTCTCCATAATGACAATTAAATTGAATCTACGCCTTCTAAACATAATGACATGGTAGTAGGGCTGGGCGATCAAATGACAAAGATATATATCACAAAACAACTTTTCCTCTATAGAAATATGAGACATGGTCGATATAATGTCAATAGATTAAATTAATCCATATTTTGACAGACAATACCAATGATCATGATGAGAGTTGCGTTGCATGTGGCTGGAATAGAGCCATGCCAAGTTAGGTTAAACCACGCAGTACAAGAAAAGGCACAGCACACTTAAACAGAAGTCATTTTAAATAAACCTGTCTGTTTAGCACTATTGATTTTAACAAACAGTTTTAGCGTCAGGAGCTAGCAGAGGCAGAGAGGCCAAGACCCGGTTACAGGCCGCTGCTGTGGACAGGTTCAGTAACGGCGCTAGCAGAGAACCTCACCAATTTTGAGCCATTTTCAACACATGAAATGTTCATTTTTATCAATTTGGTGCCAATGTCAATATTAACAGCACCATTGATGTGTTTCATCATAGTACAGTTATATATAATTTAGTTAACACCTCAAAAAACACATTTAAGTGTTTAGTACCTCTTTAAAGCCCGATAAGAAACAGAGTAAAGTGCACTGCAAATCATGTCATGTAATGCATGAACGACCAGCAAATTTAATGGTCTGTTCAACTTTTGACAGTAAAGTAATATTCTAATCAAAAATAACCTTCTGATATATTCAAGTCTCACTTATGAGTAACAGTACGCTTGATCTAATGACTGGTCAAATTTTTGATATTGAATTTTTGTGATTGGATTTCACCCATATTGCCCAGCACTACCTGGTAGTTCTGCTGCACTTTTTTTGTTTAACCAGTAGCACTCAGAGAGCACAAACCCCCGCCAGAGCAGCACAGTTTGCCCTCTGCAACACTTCCAAACAAAACAACACAATCACCAGCAGAAATATAACTTCCTTGGCTGAGTTAAGAATCATAAATGCAATATGCAGACTGCAATTCCAATATTATTTCTGTTTTAACAATACCTTGTTTTTCCCAGACAAGGCTTGAGCAGTGAGACAGCCAGCTGCACTCGGGATGTCACAACACGTCTTGATAAGTAAGTATAACTTTACTTGGATCCATGGATGTGAGGGTAAACAGTGAACAGTGATGGTGTTGATATTAACTGGAAATGCTTAAGTCTAAGTTAGGTCAATCAAAAGCTGTATTTTGAAAATTAAAAACTGAAAATGTTGGAATTTGTTTTTGAAATAAGCCTACAATTAGTTTGTTCCTACTCCTACGTTCAAACATGACTAACTAACGTCGCTACATCTGTAGCTATGCAGAAATGTATTTTATCTTAATCCATTCATCAATAATATTATATTGCATAACCAAGACATGTATTTTATATGTGCTACTTTCAGATTAGAGAAGGAAATAAAGACGATTGAGAAGCAACATGCCCTCCAAGAAAGATGGATTCTGACAAGTGAATCGTGTCTCCACATCCAAAGTGCTATAGAAGACAAGAAAAGACAGAACTCACTGCAGGCCATTTATAGACTTGTCTTAGAGCGTAGGTTTTTGTTCGGCCTTGTGAGAAAATATGTAGGTACAGTAGATATATGAAATGTGACATTTGGTAAACATTTCCTTTCATCCATGAACTTGAATCAACCATTTGTTTTGCAGATGGACAGAAAATTGCCATCAAACTTTCAAAGAAGATCTCTTCGATATGCCAGAAGATAAAACAAAAGGTGAAAGACTTCAACATTGCCACCAGAGCAGTCAACCAGCCACATGCCTTGGAGTACCACGATGTGATTCAAATCGACAGCCCCATCTGGTCAACCCTTACCACCACAAAAATGGATAACCTACCTGTCAAACAGCAACTCTTCTTGTTGTGGAATACAACAAGAAGGGCAAATGAAGAGAGGGCATGCTTGGTGGAAGAGTGCAAATCAGCAAAAACATTCTATGAAAAGCAGCTCTTTCAGATTGACAAATACGCCCAGCCAGAATGTCAGTCCTCAACTAGACAGGACCGAGACACAGCTGCAGCTTTGCGCTGTAAGAGGAGAGAATTTTCAGAGCATCTCTCACAGTTTGCAAGTCTCCTCACAGCAATGACGACAGATATTACTTTTGTAAACAGTGAAGAATCTGATACTGATGAAGAGGAGGATGATGAGTATGAAGACGAAGGCGATGAGGTGGAGGACGAGGAGGAAGAGGTTCAGGGACATTAATAATTAATTAATAATAATTAATAATAATAATAATAATAACAGTCTCAGCTCAGTGGAAACTTCCCTGAAGCCTTGCAATAACTGTAATACTGTTGATCGATTGTTAGGTGTCATCTTGTTAATCACCTTGTTATAGAACAGCATGTTAAGTGTGTATATATATATATATATATATATAGTGTTAAGTACTGAATTTGACCTCTAAACTTTTGAATGCACATGTCCAACTGTTCAATGTTTCAGTGCACCTGTAAAGGTCATAGTGCATTTTAGGCACTTTCTGGGTTTTTTTTTGTTTGTTTTTCTGTGTGACAGGATTTATAGAAATAAGGTCAGGCCAATCTTAATACAAATGTGTTGCAAAGTAAAATGTTTTACTGAAGTGTGAGCGAATAGCACTATGACACAACTATAGGACACAATGGGTTTTTATGCACTATTCCTATTAAATGGAAATGTCATTGTTATGTATGCCATGCTTTTAAGCCTTTAAGATGAAATTTAAAAAAACTGTGTTCAATCCTACACTTTCTTCATTCAAGTTTTGTTCCAAGTATCATGAGAATATTGAATTGTGTATTGAGTTACACCCCTACCAATCACAGGTCATACAGTGAAAGCTTAACTTACAGTGAACAATAATAAAAAATAATAATACTGAAAACATATTTTCTGTTGTGCGACTACTAAAAGGATGCAACAATTAGCTGCTGAGAGGGCTGTACAGGGAGATCTGTCCGACACGCTGTGTCCAAAGCAGGAACATGAATTAAGATCAAAGTCTTAGATGGCATTTATTTCTATGTTCATAAAACACTGATGCTCTGCAGCGATGTGGCTAAACTGGACAAAAGCCAGTCAACAGAAAGTATCGGCACCCTACCTCACCCTCTCCCTGTATCAGGCAACCATTCGGCCCCCTGTGACACACACAGCTCCACACACACACACACACACACACACACACACACACACACACACACACTTGTGATTCAGTCCTTTCTGAATAACGGCTTCAGCTATCATCTGATTCATCTGGAGAGAGATATCTTTACACATGAAACTGTACACACAGGGCCTGATTTACTAAAGGTTTGCGTGTGCAAACTTGACATGGGGTTAAAGTGTCTATAAATGGCCATATTATGTGAATGGGAAAATATGAAATATGAAACACGAAGTGGTTTATGGGGAAAATTAGCTCTGAAATGGTCCAAATGTTAAAGTGTGACTTTGTATAAGACAAAAATCAATATCATGAATACATTTGACCAATAAATACCCCTTAAAAGATGTTTGACTGATTTCATCCAGCTTGTCCTGAAAAGAGGTCTTTGTATGTACACTTGAGACAGCCATGGCTTTGAACCAAATGAAAATTAAACTTTGTCGTAGGACAACAGTGATGATATCATTGGAAAGGTCTTGACCTAGGGAGTAACATATGTCAGTATGAGAGTTGTAGGCGGTTCCTGCTCCCCAGGTGTGCCCTTTGAACCGTGTACCTGAGACACATTTGAAGGCTTATTGTTCAACAACAAAACATGCTACAGACATGGGGTCAACGGTTTTGGAAAAGTATCGAGCTCTACTATAATACCCGAAGGCAAACCAATAGTGGTGCCATTTACTAGTGTTGAAACCTGGAAAAAACATGATTTTACCCTCTTATCAATAACAAAGATGAAATCTGACCAAACAGGTGTGCTCCCCACCCCCAAAAACCCATACGAAGTTTGCTAACTTCATGGTCACAATTTTACATAATAGAGATTATACATCAGAACTACAAACTCTATGGCGCAGCACACTGTTGTGTATTGTAACTCGGAAGAAATTGTAGTTCCCTAATCCTTCTTCCGGATTAGGGCTAGGATGTAGATATTAGGGTTCAGAAAACATATATCCGCTCATTTTTCAACAGGAAAAGTATAACCCCAACATATATGTTTATAACGTGAGCTAAGATATGTTATAAAAAGTAAACATAAACATTTATTAGTGCTATTTTTGACGTGTTTCCAGCTGTTCTGTCTCGCCGACTAAAAGGGGTGTGTTCAATGGCATAACGTGTTCAGTAACGTTTCAAAACAGATCTTCCTTTCTTGTTATCAAGCGTTAATATATTTTTTATACATTTTATAATGTGGCTTCCAGTTACAAGTTACGTGCAGCTCAGCGCACCTGCAATTGGAAGAATTAATAATAAACGTTAGTAGTTTCAGGTTAATAGTAGTTGACTATTTGGCTAGTGAACATACCCCAAGGTGGTCCCAATCTAGTCTCAATACACAACACTGATGTCACAGACAGTAAAAGTTAAGTTTATTGAACGATCATCATATACACAACTGATAAGATATATAGCATAAAGCCTAATATATTGTATATAAAATAAACGTATCCGGCAAGTAAACATTGCAGAAGTTGTAAACATGTCCATGGTAACAGCAAGCTCCACCAATCAGACATCGCTGTTACACTTTAGGATTGTGGGTAATGTAGTGCTTCTCCATGAAGACATCGCGAATAAAAGATGTTCTTCTTGAAATAAGACTGATATAATACGAATTCCTTTCTTTACCTACGTCCTGTTGTTTTTCCTGTCATGTGTTAGGTTAGGATAGGTTGATATGCTAGGTGAAGTCATATAGTATACTGTGTTACCTAATGTAGCCCATCTACAGTAATCTAGGATTTAGTGAGGTTACACAGATACTGGCAGGTTGATGTTAAAAAATAATAGCCTAAAGCACTGTTTTTTATTTTAATAAATACATTTTTCATGTTGTATAACAATTCCCACGGTAATGGTAACGGTCCCATGTCATTTTTTCTGTTTGTGAATCCACCTTCTTAACATATGCCTATGTGAATGTGCATTTTATAAAAAATATAGCAATAACATTCTTATAACAATAATATACTTTATTGTACATTTAATTTAACAGTAAACAAAGGTAAGGAATAATCAAAATCATTCTGTGTGACATTTAGCACACATGTTCCTCTTGAACCCACAAGCAGTGTGTGACCATCCATGGCACACCAAGCACTGTGACCATGATCGCCACTTCCTCTTCCTATTCTTATCTGGGTCGTAAAAATCTGCTCCACACACACTGCAGGCATTGCTTGTACCTTTGAATGGAAACCAAATAACAGATATCAGTTCATTCTACTGTTTTATTACTATGACAGGATACATACTTGATAGTACTGTCAAGCATTAGTTTAACAGTCCTTCTCTATCCATAATTTCATAAATGCAGACCAAAGGACATAGATTGCAAAAAAAAAAGGCTATGTTGATATGTCATGGTATATGGTGAGAGTAGATATATGAATATATTTCCATTTTTCATGTCATTGCATACATGCTAATTTTGCTAGGTTCCCTTTTCACAGTGGTTGCAAATAATTAAATATAGTTAGTATAATCTGAGTGTTAATGTCATGCACAGATAATTAGATGAGATGTGCACCTTCGATAATGGGTACAGCTTCTGCGACAGCTTCCTCAACTGAAGAATGTAGGGGCTTTGCTGCTGCACCTAAAAATACAGATGTAGACAATTTGCAGATGTCTTAGCTTTACATACATTAATGAAATCACATTATTTTCTACACAGAGATGATGACACGGAGTAGTGTCATCATCACAGCCCACACATTGTAATGCATTACATTGTAAACTTTAAACATAAACAGGCCACGAAAGAAAGGAAGTATCCTAAAATTTGCCATTATAATGATTGATTACTATTCCCAATTTTTTTCTAGTTTTCTTAGACACTTACCATTTTCATACATGGACTCAAATATTTCCTCCACTGTCATTGTCTGAGTACAAGCACCGGCAACCTCAGCTAAATGCACAGACACATTAAAAATAGATATATAAACAAACAACAGTCATATTTAATTAGTAATATTTTACAGAATAATGTATATTTGCCCATTTAGGACATTTTCAAGTTTAAAAAGGAATACATACTATTTGTGTCCATCACAGTGCTGGTGGGTTGTGATGTCGTGCCTAGGTGGTTGACAAAAAAAAAGGGAAAAGAAGGTCACAAACAACGGTTAAAGAGATGAAAATAATGAGTCAGGAAAGTGGTGCATGGCGTTAGGTTCTGAAACACATTAAAACAGTTTTGTTGTTAAATGGGGACTACTGTTATAATGTCATACATCTTTCAAAGTTAAAGATGTGTCAGTGAGAGGTACTTCACTACAATTTTAAGAAGCTGTCACTGATAGGATTTTCTGTCATACCTTGTGGTACAAATTGGACTGCATCCACTTGAGTTTCTGGTGAAACAGGAAACACATTTAAGGAAAGTGGCATTAACAAATATCAAATATAATCTATGGACTACTATTTGTACTGTAATAGCCTAAACCTAGAAAACCTACTTATCTGGAATGATATTTGCTCTGCTGCCTTCAAAATCATCTCCAGCTGCTTCCGTCCATAAAATGAAGGCTTCTTCAGTGTGAAGTCATTTGGCAGCCCCTTAACCTCTATATCCAGCGTCTGGTTAACCAGTGCCTGGTATGGAAGTCGTCCAGAGCTGCCTGCAGCACCTTTAAAAGATCAAAATAAAACTGTTTGGACAAATTCACCGCATAAATGCTGTAAAAATATATAGGATATGCATTGAGGTCAATTTGTGCACAGCAAAAATCATCTTCAACAAGTATAAGTCATCATGACTAGAGCATTTCATATAATATACAAAGTCAACAGACAAATAAACAAAATAGGCAAGACACTCAATTAGAAAGACCTTTGCATCTACTTCATATTCAATCATTAAAAAACTAAGTATACAAGATACAGATCAGGATCAGGTCACGTCCATATCAAACTTCAGACTGAGGAAAAAGTGATCTCAGTAACATCGATGGTAACATGACTAATGAAACTATAGCGTAAGTTCAGACAGAAAGATCCTTCATTGCATGCACAATCATGCTTCCCTCTCTCTCCGGCTCTCAGCTGATCAGGAGCGTCCCTCTAAATGTTAAACCAATCAGATCATGCCACAAGTCATCTATCATCCAATCACACAGTATCTGTCAAACTTTAAGAGCTCATTAATTTCTCCCTCTCCGCCAGCTGCCGTCATTTTCACCTCAATGCTCATTTCACCTCCTGGCATCATCTGGCGTAGTTTCCCCAGAGGTTCTTCTTCCATCATCAGTCACCCCTCTCCATCTTAAAATGTTGTTTTTCCACTGAAAATAAAAGAAAATGCAGCCATTTAGATTTTTCCGCAGACCAGTGAAACACGACAGTAACGTGACTACTCTGCTGGATAACACACCTTCTGTACCTGCTGGGCTTGAATAGTATTGGATCAGCCAGATGAATGGGTGATAACTCCCTCCTGCACCTACTAGTAGGTAGAGTAGGCCCCTACTGGCCCCTATCTGTGGGATGATTGTATCAGGATAACGCTTATTCAATGGTATGGTAACAGTCAAATCGGGTGGCAAAGCGCGGGCCAGGTTAAACTTTGGGCACCGGGCCAAACCAAAACCCCGCGGCAAGTGCAGCTCAAACCTCTTTGTGTCTGATTGGCCATTAGACTTTGGTCAAGAAATAAACTGTAGTAACAGTGGAACATTACTTCTTTATATCAGAAGAGACAGCTTCTCCAGGAAGGGGCAGCAAGAGAGACAGCCTCCGCTGTCTCAGTGAAAAAAGTATTGCATTTTTTCATTTTCTGATTTCAAGATTGATCGCAGGAACAACTACCGCAATCAGCCTTGAGCTTGATGAAAGCACAGATGTTTCCCTGCTTTGTCAGCTTGATCTGCACATCAGGTATGACCATAAATTTGGCAGACCCCGCTTACTCAGTTTTGTATAAATTTTCTGCGTGAATTATGCATACTTCTGGTTTCACACCCTGGTTCTACTGTAGTTGGAGTAATAGCAGCTAGTAAAGGTGTGAATAACATTATCAGGGATGTGATTTTTCCTGCTTTATCAGGAATACATTTTTTATTTAATCAAGATTCCTGTTTTCCTTCTTTTTGAGTTTTCTTCAAACCCCTTATCATGCTATACCTAATGCGGTTTTTGTTTCATTCAGATACCTGGATAAAGAGGGACTGGTTTTTAACCAGTTCCTCGACATTGTGACAGTCAGTGATGGCAAGGCTGATACCATTGTCACTGCTGTGAAAGCTGTCCTGCAGAACAAGCAGGTGCCAACAGAGAAACTCTGCGGGCTTGGCACTGATGTTTTTAAGAAAGAAATGTATGTGTAGTTTGCCTTGTTGTGTTATTTGACATGTAAACACAGTGCGTGTAAATGGGGTTGCTAAGCAGCTGACCGACAGCTTCCCCATGATCGTTGCCGTGGCCTGTGCCGCCCACCGCCTTGCCCTGGCCTGTAAGGATGCATCAAATGATGTGAAATACATGGAGACCTTCCTGGACCACCTGCAGGAACTACACTTGTTATTCCATCACAGTGCAAACTGGACAGCAGCACTGAAGGCAGCGGCTATCACCCTGGGACTGTCTGACTTGAAGATGAAGGTATATTGTTTATTACATATCATTCACAGTTGGTATTTCCCATCTAATCAGTACTAACCAGTATTGTAAGTCTATACTAACGTAACACTGGATTATTATTTCCAGGACGTAAAAGACACAAGGTGGCTATCTCAGCACCTGGCCATTGAGATACTCCAAAGAAATCTCACAGCTGTGCTTGCCACATTGGCAGAGGAGGCAGAGCTTAAACAATGCCCAATCGCCAAGGGCCTGTACACCTTTTGTGCGACCTACAGGTTTGTGGCATCGGTGTACCTCCAGGCTGACATATTGCCACATCTAGCACGGCTTTCAAAAGTCTTCCAACAGGCAAATGTCAACTTCCTTCAAAAGTTTAAAGTTAAAAAGAAATTATTCAATTTAACCTGCAGACACACTTTTTCACTTAACTCAAAACTTTAAGGCAGCCCTTTCACTCGTGTATTTAAACAACTAATTAGATTTTACAGTGTGGGAGCGATCCGCAGCTATAATCCTGTTTCTGCTTTGTATAATTTGATTCATAGTAATTGACTGGGCACCTATAATCATCTGTTAATCACCTTTATGGATACAATAAAAATAGTTTATGCTGCAATGTATGCAGCACACTGTAAAATCAATGAGGTGAATAAAATTTAAACTTTATTGTGAATATTTATGTCTTGTCCGAGTCATATATTGACATAGAGTTGTGAAGTGGAAGTGGCTGCTGGTTCTGGAATGTTTTTTTTCTAGTATTTGACACTTTTTCAGGTGAAGAAAATGTAGCTTTATATCGAGGGTTTAGTTTGAGAAATTGTTTTGCAATTTGACGGTAACCAATACAAAATCCAGCAAATAATTAAGATTATTATGATGCTAAATTCATAGTAGGGCTGCATGATATGATGAAAAATAATGATAAAAATCATGTGATTATTTTGACAGATACGATTCACAATTAGTGGAAATCATAATTTTTGCATCACAATTTTAATTTTTGCTGAAAACAAAACTATTAAAATAATGATGATGGGACATTTGTTGGGGTCTGTAACAAACAAACATGTTTTCTTGCATGTTAAGAACAAGATTTATAGTACTTGTCACAGATTATACCTTATATTATAAAATTGCAGCTTCTGTGATTTTGATATTAAATGTAGCCATATTGCGATTTCTGATTTTGATAATATTTCAATTAATTGTGCAGCCCTACTTCTTGGTACTAATGTATGAATAATATTACATATGCATAAGAAAAAGCTGTCTTATTTTCTGTATTGTTTAACCAATAACCCTGAACTTATTCAACTGAGTGACAGTTTTACAGTATGGTACACTATTGTGACACTATAGATAATGTGTTATTAGCAACTTCAATCCCAACTAACAGGCAAAATGTATCAAAGAATATGAGACTTTTTCTTAAAAGTTACAGGCTGTGACTTCTTGTATATACGAGCACTGTCAATTTCTTTATGTAAGTCTAGTGTATAGTTCTCTTTATTATGATTACAGCTTGTATCTGAGATCAGATCAGCCTTGGTTACCTTTCTCATGGTGTCACTTTGCTGCTGCAGATATTTTCGAACACAGATCTTAATCTTTTGTACTGATCTGTTGTACTGATCTGTCAAAGTGCTTCAACTGTGACTCACGAAAAATAAATAGGATGTTCACTTCTGGAACCAGGGGTGCTGGAAATAACTCCTCCCACTTCACAACTACTGTATATTCTAAAAGATCACTCTTTGATTATCACATTATCATTTTTTTTCCAGAGCAGATCGTGGAAGTAGTTAAAGAGTGAGCCATCTTGCTTAAAGAAATAATTTGTAGTAAATGTAATGTTTGTGTATTTGCTTTATTTGATTTGATTTAATGAGCGTGGACTGCTCATGCTCAGTTTTACACATTTCCATTTCCTTATGAACAACTGGGACACTTCACATGTACTGTTTATCAAGGCACATTTCTGCTGAGATAAAAGATAAAGGTGATCCACTTACTGTAAAGCTGCAGGTTCAACGGAGACGCACAAAGATTGTTTTTTGTCACATGGCTGAACTTGATGATGGATTGGCCTCAGCAGTAGTCCTGCAAATGAACCATGATGCAGTATTCAAAGTCCTCATTAGAAGTCAATTACAATTCAATAAAAACATGGCAGGGTTCAGTTAAGATTGAGTTATGAGTCTGATTGAGTTGTACCTGTTGAGGGAAGTATTCAGTGTGTGAATTCATGATTTTATGTGTGCCTACATGTTGGTCCACAGGTTTATTCCAAACACTTGTTGCTTGAAGTAGCTTTAATAGCACCAGATTGAGCTTGTGCACCTGTTTTTTTTTTAAAATAAGACATTTTACAAACATGTTTCAGGTAAATTGAGACAATGATAAAAGGTTATTCCAATGAAGCATAGCGCTGGTCTATTCATATTCATAAAAACAAGGACCTCACAGAACAACAAAGTTAGGGCCTATAGCCAACTTTTAAGTAGATAAAGACTAGCCTGCCTGAAGCAAAATGTATCATTGGCTTGTGTGTTTTCTATTATCATGTATTATTATTGTTATGCATTTTTTATGAACCATAAGTGCTACCCTGTATTTTTTCACTGACCTGAAATAGACTGGTGTCCTTGGTACAATACATTTGTGTGTGTGAGAAACTTTCTGTACTCATTCAGTTTAAGGTTTTAAAAACGCACATGGGCAGATCATTATTTGTATTATTATATTTTATAGTGTAGACTGGAATGTTTTTATTTTATATTTTATTTTACCTCTAAAATACCTGCATTTTAATGTTATTTATTGTAGTGGTTATTTATTTCAGTGGAACATTATATTTTATCTTTATTGTGTATCATTTATGTTTGTAACAATTCTTATTCTTTGAGGTGATCACTAATAAAAACATATCAGAGGATTTGATCTCTGCGACGTTGCACTTTCAGTCCAAAATGTCAGCAGCGCATCTGAAAACAAAGTTCCACATACATTTAAAAAAATGTTTCAAGAACAATAGACAAGGCTGTAAAATCACATACAGAATCTGAATTCCGATTACCTCTAAAACACAGGCTGGTAAAACTAGTTCTACTTAATAGTTCATACTGTCAGTAAATGATGTAGATGATAAACAAGGCTTTGCCGTCATTTCCTTGTAGCAGAATATATAAGATGCAGATCTTGGTGATGAAGTGGTACTCGGGAGGATGGCTGCTATCACAGTGCTGCTGCTGCATCTGCTGCTTCTGGTCTCAGCTGCTTCTGCATGGTCCCACTATTCCTACAGGTATAGGTACTACGGCGGATCGCTGACCTTCACCTCAAAGGGGCAGAACTCAGACGGGACTTATGAGGTCAGTTAAACTCTCATTAGAAGGTATCCTTATTCATAATTTATTTCCATTGTCAGAGAAAAACTACTGCATCCTTAAAAGTAAAATACAAATAAATTCTATCTAACATTCTGTGCCATAAGAAGTATTATTTAAACCTCTGAATTGTAGTACATTTTCACTTCATTTTGAAATAAAGTCATTCATATTTGTATTTCTAGCAGGGTCGACTAATACTTTTGAAAATTCAACAAACTGTGGTTGTCAGTTGCTGCAGAGATAATCTTTGCATTATTCTTTGCAGGTGGAACTTCGCAACAGGCGAGCCACATTCTGGTGCAGTGCGAACTACTACTCGTGTTCCTCTGGTAATTGTGGATCCCAGACACAGGCTATCTCCACTCACATTACCAGTAAAACCTATGGTATCAACTGGTGCCAAAATGATCTGTTGACAACAAGGAAACTCTACAGCAACCTACCCTTTGAGATTAGGTAGGAGATATTACTTATAATAATTTTTTAGCCTCAGTTTACATTTTGTAAGTCAACACTCACATCTGGTTGTGAACTGTGCCATTTAATAGATAATGTTGAAAATATTGCTGCATTCTCCTTATTATCTTTTTTCAAACAGATACCCGACTCATATAAATAGTTACAATGGTCAGGGCTTCTGGACAGCAAACAGCAGAAGCTCAATGGCTCACTGGAGAATGATGGCACATGTGGACCTGGGAACCCGCTCTGATACTGGTGAATCGAACAGATCTCCCATCATTACCACACTGCCTGTTATCAGGTAATGACCCTCATTCCTTCTTTTGTTCTTAATGGTTGCTGGTTCGTTGCATCACACTGACGTGTACAATACACCGTTTATCAGTTGATCAAAAAATGTGTGACTCCAATTAATCGGAGGATAATGTTAACTTACTTCTTTTATTATGCTATGTTAACAGCTTTTACAGTGTATTCATTAGAGTGATGGACTAGCACCAGTATACCGAACACAGAATGATAGATAAGATGTAAAAAATAAATAAATAAAAGTACAGAGAAAGGCTTCTTCTTAACATTATACACATCAACATTGAGCTTATTATTTATTTATATATTTATATATTTATCTTTAAAAAATGGCAGAATAAGAAGTAAATAACAAAATAACAAAACAAATAACATAAAGTAGGGCAATAGGGGATAAATAGTGAGCAAATTCCATGACAATCTAATGGTTGAGGAGACGTTTCACTAAAACTCAAAAATATAAACCTCATATCTTTTAGACAGACTGTTGCTGATTTAGTTGATTAACATGTTACAGAGTACCCAGGAACTGTCCACGATCATTCAATATGACCGTATTTGACCCTGATGGTGACCGCGTCAGATGCAGGCCAGCATCGAACTCTAGTTCATATGAGTGTGGGATCTGCGGTCTCACTGGAGGTTTCTCTTTAGATCAGGTAAGGAGTGTGTCAGTGGATGTCTTTAGTTTCAGTTTGAGCTATATCAAATTATTATACCTTTAGAGGTCCAGTATGTAACATTAAGGAGGATCTATTGGCAGATACTGAATATAATTAACATAGGTATCTTTTCATGTATAATAACCTGAAAATAAGAATGGCTGTGTTTTTGTTCACTTAAAATGAGCCGTTTTTATCTACAAAGGGGGCGGGTCTTCTTCTACAGAGTCTGCCATGTTGAACAAACCAAACACTGACTCTAGATAGGGCCTTTCGTGTTTTTTGCGAAAGGCCTGCAATGCATTGGTTTCAATCTACAACTTCATCACTAGATGGCACTAAATCTTACGTGCTGGTCCTTTAAACTTGAAATTTGAACTTCCAGTATGAAATGTGTGATTTCTCAAATTTAAATCCTTATTGTACATTGAATAGCTTTCATTAAAATAAATGGCAACAAATATTATCCTGAAATTGATTTAACATTTTAGAAAACACTGATATAAAGCGGACATAAACCAATGTTGTAAATATTCAACTCATGAACTGTTGCAGCCATTGTAATTTATATTGTACAATTAAAGTATCTCTCCTTTTTGTCAGAATTCCTGCTCCATACAGTATACATACAACAGTCCTGGATTCCATCCATTTGAGCTTGTGGTGGAGGACTTTCCCAGAAAACACATCACGCTGTCCTACTCTGACGGATCCTACACAACAAAGAGCCCCCTTTCAGTGGGAAGACGTAAACGCCAAGTCACATCTTCAGGTCAAACCACCACAGCTGCAACAACCACCCCAGGTCAAACCACTACAGTTGCAACAACCACCCCAGGTCAAACCACCACAGCTGCAACAACCACCACAGCTGCAACAACCACCCCAGGTCAAACCACCACAGCTGCAACAACCACCACAGGTCAAACCACCACAGCTGCAATAACCACCATTCCAACAACCACCACCCCATTTCCAACAACAACCATTCCAACAACCACCACCCCATTTACAACAACCACCACCCCATTTACAACCACCACCCCATTTCCAACAACAACCACCCCATTTCCAACAACAACCATTCCAACAACCACCCCATTTACAACAACCACCCCATTTCCAACAACAACCACCCCATTTCCAACAACAACCACAGCTGCAACAACCACCCCATTTCCAACAACAACCACCCCATTTCCAACAACAACCACAGCTGCAACAACCACCCCATTTCCAACAACAACCATTCCAACAACCACCCCATTTACAACAACCACCACGTTTCCAACAACCACTATTCCAACAACAACCCCCCCATTTCCAACAACAACCACAGCTGCAACAACCACCCCATTTCCAACAACAACCATTCCAACAACCACCACCTCATTTACAACAACCACCCCATTTCCAACAACCACAGCTGCAACAACCACCCCATTTCCAACAACAACCACAGCTGCAACAACCACCCCATTTCCAACAACAACCACAGCTGCAACAACCACCCCATTTCCAACAACAACCACACAACAACCACCATTTTCAACAACAACCACCCCATTTCCAACAACAACCACCCCATTTCCAACAACAACCACTTTGTACCGAACATCGATTGCTCCTTTGAGCAAAATTCCCCTGCAGTTTTCTGTTTATGGTATGGTAATGTTTTGTTTGTTGTATATTGACAACACTGATTTTCATATTTACATTTGATCAAGTTCTCAAAGTCTATCTCTCCTCTCATCTGATTTTCAGTGGAGTCATATTACGCCCCTTCATGCATTGATGGTGATTACTTTCCCATTTTCTTGTCACCAACTCCAAGAAATGGAGTAAATCTTCCTGCATTTGTCAACCAAACTCTCGAAATCAATGTCAGATCCAAAGCGCAATACACCACGTAAGGAAATGTGCTAAATTAATTGTATGATTTTGCAGCAATGTGTTTTATGAGTTAATGTAATGTGCACAAATTTTTTCAAAAAGGTTAAAATCCTGCCGGTTCTTATTTTGCAATAATGACTTACTTACTGTAACTTCACTTTCTTCAGAGCCACTTATCAAAGATTAGTTTATCACAAACATTTCCAAAACATATTCCTTACATTAAATGTAACTTACTACCGTTCAGGAGTAACATAAAAACATTGTTTCTCTTGTAGGATTTATGACCTGATTGTCACTGGACCACGTGGCATTTCAAAGCAGAAAATCTCCACAGGAGAATATACCATAAAATGGACACCAACTGAAAATGAAGTGAATGAACATTTTTCAATTTGCTTCATTTCTGAGGCAAGAGACACGTAAGTTTTAAATAAATCACTGAATGAGAAAACTATACTTAAAAAACCTTAAACATACAATTTGATTACATTTCTTCTTCAGAAATTCCTGGAAAATAAGGATCATATAATTTATTCTCTCCAATCTTATGTTACATCCCAGGATTATCTGGAAAGTCTATCAATCAGAGCTACGCTGTGTGACTGTTGATGTTGATCACCATGGTTAGTTGACTACATTTTAACTATTACAGATATCATCTTCGTGTATATATATATATATATATATATATATATATATATATAAACACACTGCATCGTCATTATAAAATAAACATATCTCACGCTATCTAGAGGCCATTGTGACATGCAATGAAACAACAATAAAGGTGGAAGTGGAAAAGTCCTACCTCATCAGACGCAATGAGGACAACTTGCATCTGAACAACATCAAGGGTTCTTCCTGCAACCTGACAACACGCTCCAATGAAACCCACCTGGTGGCGGTCATGTCACTTAACGAATGTGGAACCCTTGTAGAGGTAAACATGTAAACTGCAGAAGTGTACAATGTGATGGTTCCTTGTTCTCAGTATATTTCCTCAATTGTCTGATTGGCTGGTGTTTATTGCCTTCCTTGTTTGGTTGGTTAGGTTTAAGTGTGAGGAAATGTTAGGGGATACAGGTGGGAAAACTGCATCTTGTTAGGCCTTTACCACCAATAGGAAATCAGCACCATTCTGGTTTGTGTACGTACAGTAGTTTTTAACCATCCAGAGCATTTTGACCAAAAATAAATGTTAGGTTTTTCTTGGAAACCAAAATCATATTCTACAGGTTGTTGTGCACTATGCTCTGTTCATTCGATATTAATGGTTCTGCTCAAAATTGGTGGAAACACGGGCTGGTTCACTCGACAGCACAAGGGTTTCCAAGACTCTTGAATGGAACTGGTTCAAGCTTCAAGCTAATTTGTTGGAAAGAATATGTGGAAACACATAACTACCTCCAAAACCTGGCCAAGCTATGTTGGTTGTCTGATGCCGACATATTATTATGGCTGGCAAGTACAATTTCTTCCCTCCCAACTGTAATTATTTTTCATTTTCAGGAGGATGAAGACAACATCATCTTCAAGAACGAGATCACATCTGCTGACCCCAATGAAATCATCTCCAGGCATCATGACGTCGAGATTGGGTTTTCCTGCGTCTATCCCAAGCGAACCAACCTGACCCTGGGATTCAGGCACAAAAACCCATACGCCTTCACAGAGAAGGGCTTTGGTGCTTTCACCTTCCAGTTTGAATTCTTCGAGACCGAGCGGTTCAGAAAACAAGTTGATAGCAGCACTTACCCAGTGGAGGTGTACCTCAAACAGATGATGTTCATGCAGATCGAGGCCACCACCTCCATCCCCAACACCGAGCTGTTTGTGGAGTCCTGTAAGGCAACTCCCTATGACAACCCGAACTCTCGCATCAGCTACACTATCATCGAAAATGGGTAGGGGTACGCAATAAAAAGGCTTTTCTGTGCTAGTTGATAATTATGTGCAATGCTGTGTTATAATTTTTAACTGCATAATGTCATAGGTGCGCGAGGGACAACACGGTGCAGATCTACCCCAGCTCCAAGTCTCAATTCAGGTTTGGAATGGAGGCTTTTGAGTTCATTGGTGCTCATGAGGAGGTAAGGTCACACACAAATATGTCAAATCTTCAGCACCTTTCACTACCTGAAAAACAAAGGAAAAACAGCTTTGTCTGACTTTACCTCCATGTGTCTCCAGGTGTACATCACTTGCTCAGTCATGCTGTGTGAGACTGGCGTTGCTGGAACCAGGTGCTCTCAGGGATGCATCAGATCAGGGAACCATCGCAGCAAAAGAGAGGCTATGGCCCAGAGCTCCAGTCACTCCATTTCCCAGGGACCTTTGCACCTGGCTAAAACTTCTGACAGCCAAGGTGAGTGTGCAGTACTACAGCAACCAGTAATTGTGAAACACACTTCAACTAAACCAATAAAACACACCGAAGCCGCAGTTACAGTCACTCTACTCAGCTGCAAATGGATTGTTTCAAATCTCATATATACATATAAAACCTTTAAATCTCATTAAGTTTTAATTGGACACACTGATCAGCAGAACATAAAAATCTATAGTATAATTAAATTAATGTTATTGTACCTGAATTTTAGTCTGTTTTTCCATTTCAGCGTCTGGTCTGAGCCTCAATCTGGGCATGAACATCGTCTTCATTGTTGGCTGCCTCGTGGCATTTGGAGTGGTGATCTACCGATCGAGGAGGTCCAAAGCTAAATACCAACCCCTGCCAACCTCCGACACAGACTGAAGACTGATCATAAGAACGATTCTCAGCTGCAGTCTGTGTTTTGTTTTTGTTTTTACATGTTTTTATATGTTTTGAGGGTATCAGTGGTTTGAATCATTGCCACACAGCCCAAAATTACTTCACTTTCATAGATAGAGACAGCATGAAGTATGCAGTGTGTGAATTAAATATTTTTCTGTCTTTGCTTGTACACAGGGTTAGTCAGCACTGCATTAAAAATTAGAAAAATAAACTTGACTGTGGACAATAAATATCTACAAACCTATTTTTAAACACTTAAAACACTTAAAAATATTATTTGAAGAGGTTTCAGGGAAACATTTTAGTCTCTTGATATGAACTTTGGTGTCAACTTGCTACGTGAACAATCAAACTTTTATTTAATTTATGTCATAAACTTTGTCTGGCTTTTAATGAGTCACTGACTAATTAATTTGTGAGTTATGAATATAAACTTGTGCCCATAATCCAAAACAATGTGGCCTCACTGTTGCAGACCTCAATTTTAATTTAAAGAATATAGTTTGGCAAGGTTATAAATCAATAGCACATAACTGGAAGTCAAGACATCTGATATATTTTCACACCATGAATATATTTTACCATTAAACTTGCTCATGTCCTAATCACTGAATCTTTTTAAAATAAAGACTAATAATATTATTGTGTATTATATTCAGTCGTTACTTTGCTTCATAGAATGCGTCGGCATGACAGATTCACACTATTGTGTTTTATTCTAGTTCTGTAGGTTTTTCAGTCAACTACTTCTCCTGCTTGCTTTCAGCCACAGAAATCATTCAAATGCAACAATGCTCAGGACTTCAAGGACATGCTTGCTTGTATTCAACTTTTAAACACATGGTTTATCAGTGAATTATAAAACCTCTATCTCTGATTGTTTTTGACATGTTTAACAATTAGGACCTCTTTAATTTTTTATGATGTCTCCTTCACTTGAGTTGAGCAGGTAGATCAGTAGTTAGGTGGTTAGAGTTCAGAGCTGAAGTTGGTCCACGTGGTCAAAGGCTCAAACCCTAATGATGGAAAGCTTTAAGAAATTGTGTCAAACTGTCTTCCCTAGTTTAACATGTGAATAGGATCGAAGAAATATTCATATATGTTTTGTACATAAATTTTGTTGTTCCGTGAACTGTTTCTTACACTTGCACACACACATCTTACACTTCAACTGACGATTGAACATCAGGGACCCTTATGATGGATGCTGTTGTGTTCAGTAGTGCAGTGATTACAGTGCTTGTCCTCACACCCAGTGGAAACTTATCTGTTACTTATCTTTTACCTGTGATTGGTTACCGAACGTTTTACAGCATGGCCTGGTGCACATAACAGGCTATGAATCTTCAATGCTAAATTGGATAGATACAAGACAGAGGTCAGTGCTGCATACAGGTCAGAGGTCTGTACTGTTTATTTGATACATATAAAAGTAATAATGATATTATTAATATTAACTGTATATATATTTTTGTAAAACACAATCATTTTAAGCTAATTATCTTTTAGAAACAGTTAATCAAGATTTGATTCAATTCAATTCAACTTTATTTGTGTAGCGCCAATTCATAACTCCATTGTCATGATTGACTCCATTTTACAATAATAAGTTACAAAGGTCAGTATGGATACAGGACAGAAGTCAGTGTTTTAGCTAAAAGGCATAGGTCAGTGCTGTAGATACAGGGTAGATGTTAGTGCTGCAGATACAGGGCATAGGTCAGTGCCAGCACTGCACTGCAGGTCAGAAGTCTGTACTGTCTATTTGAAGCATATAATAGTAACAATAGTCCAATCATTATTCATTGTTATCTTTAAGCTGTGCCTGCGAGCAGCGGTAGCAGCAGCAAATGCAGCATGCAAATATTCTAGTCAATAGTTAGTATTAATATATTGTTAATTGTTTTTTGGATTAACATTTCTAAATTCAGAGAATTTTGTTTTACAGTTACAACCACAGTGAAATGGTCTATTGTATAATAACATTATTTAACGAAAATACTATATTATGAAGATAAAAGGAAACACTGTCTCCTTTTATCTTCATAATATAGTATTTTCATTAAATAATGTTACAAGTAAAGTATCGTAGACAAGGCCAGAAGGACACACAGCAACAGACTACCAGCCATATAAGCAGCAGGTTTCCCCGTGTTTCCCTGTGTTCTCCCTCTCCCCCATGTTTCTTCTCATTCTTGTCTGTGTCTGTATCTGTGTGGCATCATTCTCTCTGCTCTGGTCGTGATTCTCCTCCACATCTGCTCGAAGCTGCACACCTGAAGCCAATCCACTAATCATCCCTGCAGTAACTCAACTCTGGTTCCTCCTTCCTTTAGTCGCCTAAAGTGTTATTATAACTCATCACCCTTTAGATCCGCATCCACCACAACCATTACCATAAAGTTGGGAAATAAATTGCCCTTTATATCAAACATCCAAACTGAGTCCCTGCTTGTTGAACATGAGGCCCCTATAGTGATACAACCCAATGCGATTAAACGCAATATGATGCAATGCAAAATAATATACCATGCAACTCATTATGGTGCAGACAGTTTTGATTGTATTACTTTAGAAACAGTTTAAAAAGGATAAATCAATATAAAGATAAAATTATTGGTCACATAAAATAAAATGAATGAATTTGTTCTTTGCATCTTAAACTTTTCTGCCTGTGCAGGTTTAAATCTTACCTTCCCTATGCTCAGACTTACATCATTATAAATACTGGATATGAATGAGCCTTTTGTATATGCACATGTTATTAAAAAGAGCTCTTGTAAAGTGGCCTCATATTACCTTTGTGCAGCAGTGCAGCTCAGGACTCCCACGACATTACCAGGCACAATGCTGAATTACTGGCACTGGTATTGTTTAGAGCTGGCAATGTACCAACTTTGTTGCATGATTTCAGGTTTACCTAGCATTGACTTGGGCAAATGGGCTATACTATATTATTATTATATTATTATTACAGTGTAAGTACAGGCAGGTTTGAAGAGGTAAATTGGAAACAGTAAGCAAGTGTACGTGGAAGTCACTGGGACAGGTGTCCCCGAACAAGTGTTGCCTAAAGGTCAGTGGTATACACAGAAACAAACTACACCAACCATATGAATATGTCAATACAATCTAATTATTCATTATTAGTATTATGTGTTGTGCTAATTTCTGTATATACAGACACTCTTACACCTTTTGTAAATGCACATTATCATGTTAGTAAAAAATGTTTTCATTCTTGCTGAAGACAACAGATGTGTGATTAAATTGTGATTGTAAAGTGGCCTCACGACCTCTGACACGATACTGGTGGACTCAAATGCACGACTCTGGCACACATGAAGATGTCGGAAAAATTATATTTATTTATCAAACAAAAGGTGCTCTCAAGGAGGATATCAAAAGTGCAAAACAAATCAACACAAACTTCAATTGGAACATGAAATAACCAGAACACTTGACGATACTCTTTAGCAACTGAACAAGACAAACTGAAAAAGACAAAGGGAGACAAGGACTATTTATACTAGGTGTAAGTGAAAACAGGTGAAAACAATCAGGGGCCGGGCAGACAATTACAAAGGCGGGAAAATCACACAAAGGGAGGAAGTCAGGGTCTGAATTGTGAGGGAAAAGGTGAGTACGAAATAAAACAGGAAGAACTAAACATGAAATATTTAACATGAACATTACTAAAATTAACAAACTTACAGGCTGCAGTATTTTAACTGTTTAAAATTCAAAACAACAAAATCTTAAAAATCAATGCAGAAATGAATGGGAAGCCTATGCAGGCAGCACAGAATGGGAGTTACGTGATAATGTTATCTTGAATGATGATGATAATCAGAGCAGCAGCATTTTGAACCAATTGAAGGTGATAAAAAATAAAAGAGAAAAAATAAAGACATGGACAACCATGTGTAAATCCTAAAACAATAAGAAGGATCTAGTTTTTGAAATTAAATTAAGTTGAAGGAATTATCACTGAACAACCTCTTGTTGTTGGTTTAATACTATGTGATAAGATCCAAGATCTTGGACTTCTAACATTAAACCAACTGCAAGAAATGTGGGTGTTTTATTTGTATTTGTTTATTTGGGTGTTTCTATCTGACTATATCTGAATTAGGTGCCGCAAACAAGATCGTTTTTGTACCCACGAGGTTCCCCTTTACAGATGCCCACTAATCCCAGTATATATGTGTCACATTCTCCATACTACACATGTACTACATAATATTTCTACATACTGGAGTCATTTCATTGTTGGCAGTTTTGGGCTAATCTCAAAAGATTAAATGTATTACTCATTACTTTTACTCTTTTCAGAAGTACAGCTGTGATTGGGCCAAAAAAATCAGGCCCAACTCAACCCAGAGAAAATCTGGTGTGAGCCCAAACCGAGCCTGAACCATGGAAGCACTTTTAGTTGTTAAATGTCTGCTTTAAATTAACAAAGGATTCAAAGTTTATTATAAGCTCAAGTAAACTACACAGTGCAAATTAGTATCAAAACAAATAAATAACAAATGTACACATCATACAGTTGCATGCATGACTGAGAAATAAACATATAATTTGTTCTAAATCACATTCAGTCTAAGCCTGATACAACAGGACATGTCGGTCGAATTGGGTAACGAAACAAAGCTTTGTTATATTACTACTTTACTCATTACTAACAGTAATTAGTTACTCTACTAGTTATATTACTCTTTTTCTCCAGTTTTGTTTAAGATCAAAGAAACTTGAATATTTCAAGCGTTTCCATCTGCCAAGCTAGTTTCCAGCTTCTTGACATGCAGGATTACTAAAATGAATCCAAGGATGTTATTGGATTTCAAATCAGTAAAGGTTGACAACAAAAGTAAGGTTGTGATATATTATTTTTATGGGGGTAACTAATAATATTACTGAAATGTACGGGTAATTTGTTCCACTACGAGTTACTGGGGAAAGTAATATTACTGTAATCCTATTACTGGTAATGTCTTACTGCCCAACACTGTCGTAGTGAGTCAATTTTTGGATCTTGGAACTTGAAACTAGGCTTTGAAACTCATTCTGGTAACACTGAATTTAACTTCGTAATCATGTTTACAACTTGTTTACACTGCCCCCTAGTGGCCATAATTAATTATTGCAAGTTCAAAGTCTGACTGAGTAGTTTTTCGTTTTGTGCCTCTGTTAAACAGAGGCATGAGAAAGGTGTATTATCACAGGCACAGCTCAGTGTGATTGTGTCTAAACGGGGAATCACATCCAGATCAATGTCACTGAGACAGGTGGTATGATGTTTGGTCACTGGTTGCTTGATAATATGTCACATATCACCTAAATTAGGGGCTGTTTGCAGAAACACAATTCTGCTGTTGCCTTGGATTGTCTGCAGGCTTTATTTTGTTTCTTTGTTTGTTTCCACTGAAACCCTGTTAATACCATTTTTTTTTTTCAATCAAGAGGCATTTTTTCATTGTGAAAGTATAAGAGTTGTTTCTTTTATGACATGGTTGGGAACTGGTTTTCAGGCTCCTTCCCTCCTCAGCAGAGATCAGTACCATCTGTACCACCACAAGAAGACCAACTGGTCTGATGAGCATTTGTTTTCATATCTTTTTTCCTGGCATCAGTTGACATCATTCCTGAGTGAATACATTCGATTGTTTAGCCAATACCAGCTGTCTCATATTTTATATTATCCTGTTGTCTTACTGTGCCTTTATTATTCATTACGAAACCAAAAGCATTCTTAAGCAGTCTCCTCACATTCTTACACCCTCATCTGACTGGCATTGCCCAACCTTAGCGTGATTAATCGGGTCAGTTATATACAAAAGCTGCCTCCTCTCAGGGTAATTTGCTTCTGGTCACCTCTTTATTCATGTGTCTGTGTGAGATCATCATGGTGTGAAAGACCCAGAAAGGTTTGAAAGACTGACACCATCATGCAGCGGCGAAAATATCTTTATCCTGCCCGTCTGGAGAAATGAGATTTATTTACAGATGGTGATAAATGAAACCACCATTAATTGTCTCAGTAAGGTGCTGTTCCAACCTGAACCACAGAACAGCTTCTTGGAATAGTTTCTTATCAAAGGTGGAATGAACAGCATTCTTCAAAAAGATATTTCCTCATTTGAGGTTTTAAAGCAAACACAATGAAAGATTTGGTGTCTCCAGTTGCAGTAACACTGTGGTAAACATAGACAGTTGGTTATGATTCAGTAATTATGAGTTGACAGTTGGTAACAGCCAGACATCAAGTGAGTGCAACAACATAAGACATAGCAAGCAGCTGATATTACTGACTAGTCTAACAGCAGCTCGCCGTCTGCCACTCCCATTCACTCTTGCCCGGTGGCGTCGCTCTCATTTTTCTCTTCTTAGCTAATGGCAGCGGTGAAGAGGACGTGGGAGGAAACTGTGTCCATAAAGGCTGCTGAGCCTGACCGGTTACATTGACTGCTCGCCCAGCTCCAGTTCTGATACTACCATCGCTGCTCTCCATCAACGTACCTCCACCCTGTCGCAGGCCTGAAAACTTCTCCCCCTGCCACCCAAAGGTCCTTCACTCTCCCACTGCTCTTAGCACCCAGTTCCCCAACTGTAAATCCCAGAGAGTGGAGGCAGAGCAGCCGTAAAATAAGATCCAGGTTCACCAAAATCTGTGACACAGTGTGTGACTTCCATTCTCCACTCATTTATTCCTTTGTCACCCAATTGAACAAACTCCAACTTTAAATGTTCTCCAAAGATATTTGTTGAAGCTGATGCTGAGCACCGTACTAGTTATTTATTTATGTGTTTATTTGTTTATTGTTGAACTTTTGACTCTCTCTGCTCCGCACTGTTCCCATTACAGCGGCCATGTGTCCTACAGTTTATGCTGGTTTTTCTAATAAATATCGAATTTGAAGTTTTATTTTATTGTTTTATCATCATCATAAAACACAATAAAAAAAAATTATCACAAAAAAAATATATTATAGATATAATAAGAGTTTATGTACATTAGAATACAATAAATGACAAGATAGAAATAAGACATGGGAATAGGTATACTACAGTATATGACTTAACTAAATTGTAATAATTTGTACTGATAAATTAATGTTGAGAGCTGAATCCTTTACAAATGCAGTATAGTGACAGAATAAACTAGTATTTCACCTTATTGCCAGTTTAATGACAGTGATTTGATTGATCACTATATTATATTATATTACTATAGATATTATTTTGGCATTGTGTATTAGAAATTGAATAGTTGTATTACATTATAATACTTTTATAATGCTCTATAATCACTGTTGTGGTGCACCAGACATTATAGAAAGAGATTTTCTTTTAGATAGCCACTACATCAGCAATATTCATCGTCTGTAATAACAATCTAGTTCCTGCGTCTCTGTTTCATCCACACTCAGCACATCAGTAAAGATAATAAAATACTGATGACTACATGAGATTGAACTTTTAGTTTCACCTTCAGTGGGCTATGTGAACTATTCAAGTGAAGTGGAGCATTATGTTGCCTCGCCCTACATACATCCAGATAACCGCTCATGTTCAGGTTTCTCACAGCTTTCATTGATGCCAAATGACACTTGAGCACTGATAAGCCTACTGGAATTATGTAGTATTTATCTATGCGTATTTACTTCCTTGTAGATTTAGCCTGAGAAACAGACCGGCAGAGTGTATTAAGCACAGGTTTGTGACCTGAAACCTTCCATTTAAAAACAAGCTATAAATAATCCAAAGCACAGCCTCATAATGAAAAGTTAATGAGCAGAGGACCAAGATGTTCACATGCCATGTAGGCAGACATGATCTTGAATGCTAGTATAATTGGTCTGTGATGATCAGCTTGCGTATATATGTGTATATAAATGTTATGAAGCAATATCCCAAGGCAAATTCCTTGTGTTTGAAAACCTCCTTGCCAATGGACATGCAATGGTTTCTGTTACTTTGTTAAACAGACCAGACCTGCATCCTGTGACAACTATGAACATGTCCAGTGCGTAACGTGCATTGAGTGCGGCCCCATGGCACCTCACATTGATTGCAAGATTTCAAGAACTTAAATACACAGGAAAGAATTAGGACTTAAGATTAGAGACATTTTAGAGCTCCATCTAAATTTCTCAAATTAGGCTTTGTAGAGGTCTCATGTCTTTTTCAGGGGAGCTGAGTTCCCTGTATATATTTCAAACCTTATCTAAGATAAGACCACAATATACAGCCATATATGATTCGAGCGTTTTAATGGACCCTAAACCTAAACTAAATTATAATTCATTTGAAAGCCTTGTTCTTAGTCTTTCTCACCCAAACTGGAAAACACTGCAGCCAGTTCTTTTTGTTATAGTGTACCGCGCTCCTGGACCGTACTCTGATTTTATATCTGAATTCTCAGAGTTTCTATCAAGTTTAGTCCTTAAATCAGATAAAGTAATTATTGTAGGTGATTTTAATATTCATGTGGATGTTAACAATGACAGCCTTAGTAACGCATTTATATCATTAATAGACTCAATTGGCTTCTGTCAGAATGTAAATAAACCAACTCATTGTTTTAATCACACTCTTGACCTTGTTCTATCATGTGGCATTGATATTGAACATTTAATAGTCTTCCCACATAATCCTTTCCTATCTGACCATTATTTAATAACTTTTGAATTCATGTTGTTAGATTATAAGCCATTAGGCAACTCTATCGCTCCTATAAAAAGGAAATTATTAAAACATAGGAGACTAGCACCTTGGTATAACCACCAAACCCACCAGTTAAAACAAATAGCTAGGAAATCTGAAAGGAAATGGCGCTCTAACAAATTATCAGAATATCGCTCAAATTGGCAAGATAATCTTAAAATTTATAGAAAGGCCCTCCGTAATGCCAGAGGAGCCTATTACTCAGCACTAATAGAAGAAAATAAGAATAACCCTAGGTTCCTCTTCAGCACTGTAGCCAGGCTGACAGAGAGTCACAGCTCTATTGAGCCACATATCCCCATAAACTTAAGTAGCAATGACTTCATGAGCTTCTTCTATAATAAAATTATTACTATTAGAGAAAAAATTAATCACCAACTGCCATCAACAGTTATCAGTGGCTCTCCAAGTTCAGGGACTTCTGTCAATGTAAACTTAGATATATATTTAGACTGTTTTTCTGCTATCGATCTTCATCAGTTAACTTCAATCATTTCTTCATCGAAGCCATCAACCTGTCTATTAGACCCGATCCCAACTAGGCTGCTTAAAGAAGTTGTTCCCTTAATTGGCACTTCTTTACTGGATATGATTAATCTTTCTTTATTATCAGGATATGTACCACAGTCCTTTAAAGTAGCTGTAATTAAACCCCTTCTTAAAAAGCCCACTCTTGACCCAGGGGTTTTAGCCAACTATAGACCGATTTCTAACCTCCCCTTCCTCTCTAAGATTCTGGAGAAAGTAGTCGCCAAAGAGTTGTGTGACTTTCTACATAACAATAGTTTATTTGAGGATTTTCAGTCAGGATTTAGAGTTCATCACAGCACAGAGACAGCTCTGGTTAAAGTTAATAATGACCTTCTGACTGCTTCTGACAATGGACTTGTCTCTGTACTTGTATTATTAGATCTTAGTGCTGCATTTGACACCATTGACCATGATATTCTTTTACAGAGACTTGAGCATCAAATTGGCATTAAAGGAACCGCACTAAGCTGGTTTAAGTCATATTTATCAGATCGCTCGCAGTTTGTACATGTAAACGATGAATCTTCAATAAATACTACAGTTAGTCATGGAGTTCCACAAGGTTCTGTACTTGGACCAATACTATTTACTTTATATATGCTCCCTTTAGGCAACATTATTAGGAATCACTCCATTAACTTTCACTGTTATGCAGATGATAGGCAGTTATATCTAGCAATCAAACCCAATGAAATTAATCAATTATCTAAATTACAAACATGTCTTAAGGACATAAAATCCTGGATGACTTGAAAAAAAACGAAATTCTTGTTCTTGGCCCCAAAAACCTTAGAGACTCACTGTCAAAAGATATAGTTACTCTAGATGGCATTAACTTGGCCTCTAGCACCACTGTCAGGAATCTTGGAGTTATCTTTGATCAGGATTTGTCATTTAACTCCCACATAAAGCAGACCTCTAGGACTGCCTTCTTTCACCTACGTAATATTAGAAAAATTAGACACATACTATCACAGACAGATGCAGAAAAACTAATCCATGCATTTGTTACTTCAAGGCTGGATTACTGCAACTCTTTATTATCAGGTTGCCCCAATAAGTCCATTAAAACGCTCCAATTAATTCAGAACGCTGCAGCACGAGTACTGACAGGAACTAGAAAAAGAGATCACATCTCTCCTGTACTAGCTTCTCTACATTGGCTCCCTGTAAAATGTAGAATATAATTTAAAATCCTCCTCCTCACCTATAAAGCTCTTCATGGTCAGGCCCCTTCATATCTTAAAGAGCTCATAGTACCCTATTACCCCACTAGAACACTACGTTCTCTGAATGCTGGGCTACTTGTGGTTCCTATAGTCTCTAAAAGTAGAACAGGAGCCAGAGCCTTCAGTTACCAAGCTCCTCTCCTGTGGAACCAGCTTCCATTTGTGGTTCGGGAGGCAGACACCCTCACCATATTCAAGAGTAGGCTTAAGACGTTCCTCTTTGATAAAGCTTATAGTTAGGGCTGGATCAGGTGAGTCCTGAACCATCCCTTAGTTATGCTGCTATAGGCCTAGACTATCAGGGGATTTCCCATGGTGCACTGAGCTCCTCCCTTCCTCTCTCTTTCTGCACTCCATTAATGTTCCATTAATGCATGTTACTAACTTCACTTCTTCCCCGGAGTTCTTGTGCTTTCTCGTCTCGCAGGTTCTTGTCGATCCTGGTGGAGCCTCCTGCCATGGTCCTGCTCGATTGCCATTGTCAATACTGTTGTTGCTGTGCACCTGTCTGTCTCTCGCTCTCTCTCTCTCTCTCTGCCTCTCTCTCTCTCTCTCTCTCACCCCAACTGGTCGAGACAGACGACCACCCTCCTAGAGCCGGAGGATCTGTCCTAGGTTTCTGCCTTTTAACAGGCAGTTTTTCCTTGCCCTTGTCTCCAAGTGCTTGCTCATGGTGGTACTGTTGGGTCTCTGTAATTAATGTTTTAAAGAGTTCGGTCTAGACCTGCTCTATTTGAAAAGTGTCCTTAGATAACTTCTGTTATGAATTGGCGCTATACAAATAAAATTGAATTGAATTGAATTGAATATTGATTCTTAGATGAAATTAGGTGTCAGTTATATACATTTGATAACACAGTTGTGTAGTGTTTACAGCATGGATTCTGCACGGAGCATGATAAAGCCCTCACAAGGTCTCACAGAATGGAAACCAAACATTTCGCTGAGATAAACATGAGGACAATGGGGGCAATATCATCAAAAGTATCGTAAGAACACAAAGGAGGACTGCCGTGGTGACGAGAGAGATCAACGCAAGAGGTATCTGTGCATTTGAGGTTGGAGTAAAACATCCTGGCCTTCTGACCTGAACTCAGTTTAAAGTCACATGAATCATCACCTGACAAGCAGGTCAAACCTGGGCAGGAGTCAAAATTGTGTTGTCACGACAGAAGGCTGAAGCGCTGAAGTGACTATTGTCCTACTGTCAGCGTTAAAAGCACCAGATTAAAACCAGGGACGTCGATGCTCAGATCTTTACACTGGCTTCCTATAAATCAAAGAATAGGCTGTTTGTTTGACACCACTGAATGGTTTAGAGCCAAATGCCTTTCTGTTCTGAACTGTGGAGACCTCTCAGAAGGTCTGGGACGGGCCTCTTTACTTACTTACTGTTGCTGTTTGTTGTTTGACGTCACATTGATACTTGGAATTTGAAAAACAATCCTGCAAACTGAAAGTATTGTCATGACAACAATCTGCATTTCTTTCAGCATTTTAAAGAGATTGGCATTTCACTCAACACCTTCAGCAGGAGAAAAAAACAGAATGTGTTTTAAACCAGAACGCACAAATTGAAACTATTTTTACTGTAACTTTAATTGAGTTTTATTGCCTCTGTGTCTGTTTGGAGCATATATACGAATAAAGTTGAAGTCAGTACAGTTCATTTCCTTTTTCTTTTTATATGATTTTTGAGCTTTTATTTGACAGGGACAGCTGAGGGGAAGACAGGAAACGTGGAAGACAGAAGATAACAGGAAGGAATCGAACACAAGCCTCTGCAGCAAGGATTCAGCTCTAGTACATATGGTGTATACTCACACCAGATGAGCCACCAGGGCACCCCTACAGTTCATTTCAAGACAAAAGAAAGAAAAAACTGGGTCTATTCATTGTAAGTTAAGAGTAAACCAGCTCCACCAACAAGCATCCCAGTAAGTTTAGCTCTGGCCTTTTACACCTTTATTAGACAGGGACAGCTGAGGTTAGACAACTGATGGGGACAGAGAGAGGGGATAACAGTTTGATGTAACAAAGCTTTGTTTCTTCTGTGCAGGTGCTGGAGGTGGCAGAGGGCCACGCCTGGTGCCTGTGTGTCAGAGCTCCTTCAAAAACCCTCGTGGAGCTCAGTCCTGGTTCTCTCTCCTGCCTGAGACCACCATTTGGGTTTAGTTTGACTGTTACAACGCAGCACTTCTCCATTCATGCACTCACCTACAACCGCTTATCTCACTGGTTTCACATGCTTGTTTAAGTTTTCTTTTTTTTTTTTATCTTTTCATAAATTAATCATTTGTTAATTGGCTTGGCTTGGTGGTGTGCGTCTGCCTCCTTCGTTGTGGCTGTGCGGCTCGGTTTGTGACATAAAATCTTGATAAAACAAGAAAAACATCTAGGAAAGAAAGATGCTTTAAGAAGATAAAAATTCAGGTCAAATCAGGAAAGGTTCTCTAATAAAAGTATGTTTTAAGTTTCAAGGAGATCCCTGTCCTTGGGCAGATTGTTCCAAAGCCTCGAGGCCGTGACTGCAAACGCTCTGTTCTTTCGTTTTCAGCCGGCCTCTGGAATAAACAAAAGACTGCACCAGCTCGTACTTTAAGATTAGAGAAAGTTTAGGATGAAATAAAATAAATCAATGAACTGCAGATATATTTTTTTCCTAACGGTGTAGCTTATTAAAAAAAAAGCATTCTGAATCAGATTGGTGAAATGACGGTGTTTGAACCCAGCAGCACCGACTGTGGCTGTACTGTCTGTATGTAAGCTTTGTGATGCTGCTAAGAGAAACAAACCCTAATTGTCTTGTCGTGCTTTGGTTGCAAAGTATTTGGATTTGGACTGTGATGACAGATGTAGATAAACTGGTTGTTCAACAATAAGGTAGCAAAAAGGTTTCTTAGATTTATTATCATTTGAAGTGGCATTACACTGATACTTAAAGTCCCTCTTCAGTCAAAACACAGTTTTTCCTCTTGTTCCTACAGTGTGATGTTTGAGCCTCGCTGTGCAGAACGATGTGTGTGCAGAGTTTAACACTAGACACATTCATCTGCTGACAGTGGAAAGTTTCTCTGTGCTCACTGAAAATCAGTTTCAAGGGGCGGGACCCTCAAGCATTATTTGGGACATAAGAACTAGCCTGGAAGTCAGTCCTGGTCCAGTATAGAACTTCTACAGTGTGGTCCACCAGTGCACAGACACTGAGAGTGTCCAGCAGGAAAACTTTAGAAATGAACACAATTTGCATATTCAGATTCTGTATTTTTTCATGAGGAGAAGATGTCGACTTACATATGTATTTTTAATTACACATTAGTGTTCCAAGCAGACTACTTGTTCATATGTATTAATACATGTCTGGAGGGGAACTTTAATTTAACAGTTTCCAGTTCTTACAGCCAGATTAAAAGAAATGTGATAAATAAGTTATTTACTCACCTTTCAATGCAACCATGTCAGTTTAAAAAGTTGTCTGTACATACATATGTACAAACCTGGGGGTTGGGACCCCCACTAGGAGTCACCAAAGCTACACAGGGGCCACAATGCCTTCTTAATTTTAAGAAAATGTGTTATATTTAAAGTTTAAGTTATTATTTGAGATCTAAACTAAGAAGACCTGAACACAAGCTATACTCACAGTCTTCACTTATAAACAGCCTCATCCTGCATTAGAAAGTGTGCAGTTAAAACAACAAAGAGCTAATAAACCAAGCGTTAGGGAGAAATAAACACCAGTGTGTACGATTGTTGAAAAAATAAAATATATATATTGTACACTATTATATTAAAAGTTCCTAAAAATATCAGAAAAACTCATCTCTGATCAATATTGACAGGAAAAAATCAGAATTCATCCAAACTTCCTGCAGGTATTGAGTTCACTGGTTCATTGTACAGTTTATCAGCTACTCTCCACTGTTATTTTCATGCACTGAATATAATATTCAGGGGTCATCAGGTTCATCAATAGAAAAGGAGTCCCTTAAAGAGAAAGGATGGGACAGAATTCATTGTTTCATTTTCAATTCCCCAACATTCGTTATGTTTCGTAACGTGCTATGTGATCCGCAGTATACAATGTTTTTAATCGCTTTGTTTATTCACTGAAACCAGTTTTGCAGCTGGCCTTTTGTTCTGAAAACATAGTGCACATACCATTAAACTTGGCAGGACTGGCACCAGCTTCTCCAGCCTACCTGTAACTGTATATAAGGATGCTGCTGCAGGTGGATGTGAGAGGCAGAGGACAGAGTTTGATGCACCATGGCTTCCACACTGGCGCTCCTGCTTCAGCTGCTCCTGGTCTCACTGGCGTCTGCATCACATCACTTTGGGGGAACCGTGACCTTCACCTACAAAGGAAGAAACCCTGATGGCACATTTAAGGTGAGGGATGCAACTCTTAATGATATGCAATATGCCTTATGGATAATGTGTGAATATGTTTTCTCTGATATGCGACAGATATTTGTCATATTCGCTATCAATCAATCAATTAATAATTATTATTATTTGTGGATTTGATTATTCTGAATATAGAAGCTGTTACATTCATTTCAGTTGTAATTTTTACTATTAAATCTATTTTATTGATTTTTTAGAATTTTTTAACATTCTTCTTATTGATATTGATATTCAAGAAGAAAACAACATGGGTTTTTGTACAACAACTGTTTACGACTTCTTTACGTCAGAGAGAAAGAACTGAATGCGGGATAAATGTAAAATAATATGCATTTCTTTCATTAAAGTGCTCAAATTTGTTCTATTTTTGAATACTGCTTTCATTCTTGCTGTTTAGCGGCCGGCAGATTGTCGACTGAGATTTTAAATTACGCTCTTGTGTTCTGTCCTTTCACTCCAAAAAGCTTAGCTACTTCTCACAGTCAAGTTACATTAGTTACATTAAACATGAGTACCTTCAATTATTTTATATTCTAAAAAAGCTTCTGCAAAAAAATATATAATCTGCTCACAGAAAAAAGAAAAACTACTCAATCTATACAAGATATCTGACTCTGTAGAAGGAACTTGATGGAATCTGTAATTTCGGTCGTGCTGCTTTTTTCTGTTGATTGTTATATAATTGTACCATTATTATTATTGTTATCATTATTCATTATGGTTTTGCTTCCTGTACTTTGCAGACATATTACAATGTTATTGGTTTTATGATTTTAAAAAATGCACGCATTTTTGAAATAGCGGTTGGTCTTTAAAACATGTATGTAAATTTTATAGTGAAAAACTGTCAAACCAAACCAAGACATTGAAAGACCATAAATTTGAAATAGGTTAAAGAGTAAACAGTAAAATACTGATACATCATGGCAAAACCTTTTATTTATACAGCATTTTGAAGGAATTTATATGGAATAAAGTATTTTTCTTTAATACTACAGACTGTAAATTACACAGAAAACCACCATCATAGCATTTATATGGTATTTTCATGTGGCAAAACTGTTTTTTATGATGGTAAAAACTCGTATTTATACAGTAAAATGTGGATTAAAACTTAAAATCAACAGTACTAATATCCTTTTACCATAATAGTAGAAAAAGTTCTCCTGTATTTATTACAGTAAAGTTCTGGCAACCACAGCTGCCAGTGTTTCAGTGTACATTTGTTGTTGTTGATCAAAGGATAACATCGCTGTTAAAATATATTATAGCGTGATATACCTGGTGTGCAAACAAAATACACAGAAATGTAATTTACAGAACAACCATCACTAGCTGTACAGTTCAACTCTTAATCAATCTGATCTTCTTCCACAGGTGGACATTCGCAACAGGGCGACCTACGATGGGTGTCAGTATTCCCACTACTGGTATTGCTACTCCGGCAACTGTGGCCAAAATACCAGATATCAGAGAGGCGTACTTGACAGGAGCACCAATGCACCACAATATAACAGCCAATGGTGTGAAACTGAAACCGTCATTAGGAGAAATGTCGCCAGTGACAGACCTTTTCAAATGAGGTGAGCTGTTTGTGTTACTGAAATCATATTAATATTCTTGCTGCTGTTCGTATTTATTGAATGAAGTTTGAGGTGAATCATCTTATTCATTATCTGTGCTTAAAGGTCCAGTGTGTAGGATTTAGTGGCATCTAGTGGTGGAGTTACAGATTGCAACCATTTAAATACAGTTCAACATTCCAAGTGTGTAGGAGAAACTACGGTGGCTGCGAAACTCAAGAAAAACACAAAAGGTCCAAGAGCCAGTGTTTGGTTTGTCCGTCCTGGGCTACTGTAGAAACATGGCGGTTTAAAGCTATAATATGAAACATGTTCTATATGTAGTTGAGTTGTGTATTTAAATTATCACAAATGTTTCCAACAATGTTCAAGCTGAGCTAACGTTAGCAGGAGCTCGGCTCGCAGTCCCTCCGGGACGTCCTTTGTCTGTCCAACAGCGTGGGAGAAGCAGTGATTGTTAAGGTGGAACTGCTTTATTCAGTGTGTTTAAGGTGGAACTGCTTTATTCAGTGTGTTTAGTGGTTTTAATCAGCGGGTCTGTTTGTTTTGGAGAGGAGGAGACCTCTGTGGATAATTCAACTCCCATGATCCCACGCTACTTCACAACATCATAAAACTTTGTTCTTGTTATTGTTTTGATGTCAGAGACCCCCTAGTGGTAGAAATAAAAAAAAACGAAGGTACCAAAAACACATCGATTCTTACTTTCAGGCGATTGAACACTAATGAAAACATACCTCTGAATATTATATTCCTGCCAATAGATCCTCCTCAGTGTGACACACTGGACCTTCAGTTGCATGTTCAGTTGTATTTGCCGTTGGTAGATGTTTTTTTTCAAGAGTGTTTTTTCCTCACGTACCAGGGCTTCTAGCTGTTGTTGGATCTCGACTCGTAACTGGGTTAATAATTGGAATCTACTGACACATGTGGATTTGGGAACAAGATCTGACACTGGAAAACCAAACAGATCACCGGACATTGCCATTCTACCTTTCCTACGGTAAGTCCCCTGCAGTTTACACGAAGACTAACCTTTAATCATTTTATTTAAAAACCTGAGGAAAAGTTCCTACTTTGCTGTCCCCCAGTGGTCGTACAAAAGAGACATTGTGGCAGCCAGATAGCTACAGGAGTCCAAAACTACTGAAATGAATGTCCTGAATAATAATAATTTAATATTATTACAATGCAAGTCTTTATAAAACTCTTAACAAATGTTTATAATCATACATGACAACTTATAAGACGGTTCACAAATGTAACAAATGTCAATAAAGCAATATGAATGATAAACATAATATACATTATATCCACCACTTATAATAGTTCATAAACCTCATTATAAGTGCTCATGCATTGCTAAATGTTTTAATAAAGCAATGTAAATTAATTATAATGTCTTATGAATGTGCTTATAATGTATTACATGACCTTAATAGAAAGTTTTATCCTGTTACTAACTGTTGATGTGTCTATTAAAGAGTGCCTCAGAACTGCCCACGGACATACAAGCTGATTTCCTTTGATCCTGATGGTGACCAAGTCCGATGCAGATATGGAAATAATCCAGGAACAGAGTGCAGCAGGTGTGACCAACCTTCAGGCTTCCACTTAGATCAGGTTAGTTGAAATTTCTCAATACGTTGCACAATATCGGACTGATGCTTTGCCTCACTAAGCTACTTATTATCCATACTGTTAGGGCTCTTGCACATTACACTACAACTACGCCAGTGCCAACCCCAGCGTTTATGGATTTGAGATGGTGGTGGAGGACTTCCCTAAAAGAAGCATCACTGTGGCCTACACCGACGGATCCACATCCCTCAGGGCTCCACTGTCTATGAGGAGAAAGAGAGCAGCTCCCACATACTCGTCATGGTATCCCACAACCACTGCACCAGCACCAACCACAATCCCATGGTGGTGGCATACTACAACCCCATGGTGGTGGCATACTACAACGACAGCACCGACCACAACCACCGCACCGACCACAACCACCGCACAGACCACAACCGCAGCACAGACCACAACCCCATGGTGGTGGTGGTATACTTCAACCACAACACCAACCACAACCGCAGCACCAACCACAACCCCATGGTGGTGGTGGTGGCATACATCAACCACAACACCGACCACAACTGCAGCACCAACAACAACCGCAGCACCAACCACAACCCCATGGTGGTGGTGGTGGCATACATCAACCACAACACCGACCACAACTGCAGCACCAACAACAACCGCAGCACCAACCACAACCCCATGGTGGTGGGCTCCTACAACCTCATGGTGGTGGCATACTACAACCACAGCACCGACCACAACGACAGCACCGACCACAACCGCAGCACCAACCACAACCCCATGGTGGTGGGCTCCTACTACCCCATGGTGGTGGTATACTACAACCACTCAAGAACCTACTACAACCACCCCAATCTACACTACCACCACGACACACCTGCATGCCTCCACTGCTCCTCTCAGTAAACTACCTTTGCAGTTCTCTTTACTTGGTAAGTGATGTTTTACTTATCCTAATAATTGTTTGACCACATTTTAATAGCTAATTCACACTTAATCAATTTGAGCACCACCTTAATGTGCAGAACATGCTTTACAAGATTATTTTCTTTTCCGAGAAACAAGGATTTTTGTGTGCAGTTGGAATTTAGGGTCATCTTTCTTTTTTTAACTCCAGTGGACCCAGCTGCTCCCTCGTGTCAGGAGGGACTCTACCTGCCAAAGTTTGTGTCCCCAACACCTAAAAACGGAGAACACATCCAAGCAGAGGTCAACAAAGAAGTGGAGATAAAAGTCAAAGCCCAAGCTTCATACGCAACGTAAGTGAAAAGCAACATGATCAAAGTGGCAGCAAAACATTCTCATCATTTCAGCAAGTGAGATAACATCAGCATCATCGAGGAAATCTCTGGTTTACTTTCGTACAGAATACACGATATTATCATCAGTGGACCGCTGAACATCAGCAAACACAAGCACCATGACGAGTTTGTCATTCGGTGGACGCCTACCGTAGATGACCTGGGAGATCATTACGCAATCTGCTTCGCTGTTGAGGCAGTGACAGGGTGAGCCGAGGGTTCATTTCGTTAACCACAGAATTAGTATGTGTGTGAGTGTAAAACCATTATTTAACTTTTTACATATTTTGCAGGGCTGCTGTGACCGGCTTTCAACCCACACACCATTCCCATTACCACCCCACCCCAACCTCACAGTGAGTAACATTCCTCTGTGTTTGGTGTTTTTTAGGAACAAATGAGGAACCTATGAAAGATTTAAAAGACTTTATAATTATTCATAAAAATTATAAATTCATGATGTGAGTTTAAATGTAATTAGAAGACAAAGAACAGTATTGACTTTATTAATGACAAATCAGAAGTGTTTGGCAAGTGTATTAGTTACTTTTGCCTTATTACTCATCTAAAAAGTAATTACTTAAATTACTTAAATTATTACCTGGTATAGTTATGTTACTCATATTACTATCACAATTATTAACATTAGAGGAGGAGTAAACTGAAAACTAAAAGCATTGCAGCCTCTTAAACCTGGTGATGGTACAGCATATATTGTGTATATTTAAATATTTAATTTATTTTTATTTACTTTAATGTTTCTGCAAACTTTTTTTTATGTTTTTCTGCATATTCATTCATAAGAGTAGCAACAAGCAGGCTATTTTATTATTTTTACTAATCATTAAAAGTTGCTTAACACCACAGGCTGAACAAAAACATTCCACAATAATGTGACTTAGTTACTTTGATTAATAACTGTAATGTAACATTGCAAATCGTTATTACTCTCATCAGTTAAATTATTAAAGTGCTCACTGATGCTTTCCAGGTCTGGCATCTATCAGTCTGAGATGAGGTGTGTTGTAGTGGACATTGGGAAGAAACAAGGTGAGTGCTACTTCACTGTCAACATTTTGTGTAAACCTTGTTACGAAACAAAAGTCTGGATCATCCATTGTAAGCAAAAGTCTTCCATCACACAGAAATACCAGCAAGATTCTTTATTCATATTAACTGAAACCTATCCACTTAGAGCTGAAGCACAATTTGAATAATATATTTCTTTATAGTTTCCTTGAAAGAAACAGTCATGTTCAGTGGTGAAATCTAACTCCACTATATCTCAGAGGCAAATGTTGTACTTTTTACTTTCATTTGATCTGACTTTTCCTTTCTTCTTCTTCTTCTTCCCTTTCTTGGCTGGCACACTGCTGCTTTTCTTGGCATCCATGAGTGTGGGTGTGCATAAGATAAACAAAACTCAGTCTTAGAAAAACAGCTCCCTGGAGCTACTAGAGGTCTAAAACTCCACAGGGAACCTTTAAAGCTGACTTTAGCCATTTTGACCACTAGAGGGCAGAGAAACGCCACACAGGTTAACACACTTACTGATCAGGTTGATAAATGAGGATGAAAGGAAGTACTGCAAGCAAAGAAGCATAAACATTTAAACATTTAAACAAATATTATAAAGACACAGGGAACCTTTAAAGCTGACCACTAGAGGGCAGATACACTCCACTCAGGGCCGATATATTACACACTTCAGATTATCAGGTTGGTGTAATCATGGCCATCCATCCATAAATGACTACTGTCTACTTACAGCAGATAAACAGGAACTATACTACTGCATTAAGTAATATATCAATGTCAAAAATATCGCTTAATGCAGCTTCTATCACACAATATCTTTGAGAAAATACGGAGTTTTCAGGATAAAGTGTATAAATGGTTTAAATGTATATATATGTCTTGCTCTAGTTGAAGCCAATGTGATTTGCACGGAGTCTACAATGAGGGTCGAGGTTGAGAAAACTTCATTTGCTGGACTCCACGAGGATCATTTGCGGCTCAGTGACTCCACCAACACCGACTGCAGCCTCCAGAGACACTCCAACAGCACTCACATCGTCGCTGTGATCCCGCTCAACGCTTGTGGCACTCAGATCGAGGTACCGCAGGGTCACTTGCTCCCCGTTCTCAGACACTGGTGTTGCTTTTCTTTTTCATTAGCACTATGAGACCTGAATATGTGACATTTTATTCTGCAGGAAGACGAAGACAACCTAATGTTCAAGAACGAAATCACCACAGTCGACAACAGCGCTGACCTGATCACCAGGAAACACCTGCTGGAAGTGCAGTTCTACTGCCAGTACCCCAAACGGGGGAATGTGACACTGGGGTTCACAGCACACAGGAAGAACATCACAGTCTGGGAGAAAGGCTTCGGCACATTCACATACCAGTTTGAGTTTTATCCCAACGGCCAATTCGAAACCATGATTGATCCGGATTCATACCCTCTGGAGTATGACATAGGGGACAGGATTTACATGCAGATAGAGGCCACCTCCTCCTCAGTCAACAACACCGAGCTGTTCGTGGAGTCCTGCACAGCTGCACCATATGACAACCCCAACTACTGGCCAACCTACCCCATCATTGAGAATGGGTAAGCATGAGTGCACCCCCTAGTGGCAACAGAGGACATAACAAATAATTTGTAAAGATTTGTTTTTTGCTTTCATATGAGAGGGTTGAAACTAAATTGTCTGAAGGTGTGAATGAGTTTGAATAGTTGTCTATCACCTTTAATACACCTTCAGTAGGATCATCAGCCCCTTTAATGGCATCCATTGCAAGGTATCGAGTTACTTATGTTATCTTTCTTTTTGTTTGTGCTCTGAATAGGTGTAAAGTGGACTCAACTGTTAAAATCCATTCCTCCGATCACAAGGGCCAATTCAGGTTCTGTGTGGAGGCCTTCAAGTTCATCGGCTTGCATGACCAGGTGAGGAACAAACAAATACAACTACATTTAAACTTTTATTTTAAAAAAATACATGAATTTCTTTTCATTTGTATTTACTTGTAAACTGAAGACACTAGCAGGTTAAATCTTCTATGTGGGATCTGTCTTTAACTCCGTTTGTCTGCTGATGTAATGACGGCGTGTCCTGTTGCATTCAGGTGTACATCAGCTGTTCAGTCATGATGTGTGAAGCAGGGGACTCCGGCACCAGGTGCTCGCGGGGATGCATCAACTCCACATGGTCAGGCGGTCACCATCACCGCAGAAAGAGAGAGGTTGTCAGCCAGACTGCAAGGCACCTGGTTTCCCAGGGTCCTCTCCGCCTGAAGAGATCGGCAGAGCTCACCGAAAGCCCAAGTATGAAAACAGGAAGTGTTTTTCTTAACAGCCAGCTGACTTGTTTGAGACTGAATTCTAATTACGCTTCTTTTTTTCTCCAGTGAACCTGAACCTGAATGTGAACCTGGTGTTCATCGCTGGATGTCTTCTTGCAGCTGTTGGTATGATCAGTGCAGTGGTCGTGTACAAAGCCAAAGTGTCAGGGGTCAAATACCAACCTCTGCCCGTATTCGAAAGTTAAGACAGCAGCATGAGCAAAATACCAGTCCAGAATTATTGATTGATTGATTGATTGATTACTTTTACTATCAGATATTGGGTGTTCATGTATCTAACTATCAGGGTTCAGAGGTTTACTTTAAAAATGTAATCCAATACAGTTACTTGTATTGCCTGTTAATCCACAACCTAATCCAAGTATCACAATATTAAAGTAATGTAACTTTTCTGTTACTCAGTGCCAAATATGCAGATAAAGACAATTCTGTAAGACAAAATGTACGTGTTCTAAGGGTCTTGTATATGGGCGTCACAAAATGGCTCGACAGCGCCCCCTAAAGGCACATTTTACTGATATTTTGAAATTGTAATCCTGTTTACAATCCTCCATTTTTACTGAATGTAACTTTTTTTCCATCTCATTTAAATGAGTGAGTTTTATAACGTCTTTCGAAATGTCTAAAGCTGTATTTGTTTGAGCTGAAAGAGGAAGAAACAGTTTTATACTGACCAACACTAACAGGATGATCACCTAGCACTGCAGCTGCTGGGTGATCAGTTGTGGTGTTTCCTGCTGTGGGATCTCATGTGGCTTTAAAAGAGCTTCTACTATTGTGTTTTACAGTATCATTTAAAACAAGTAACTTGATTTGTATGTCTAGTCCAAGCATAATCTTTGCTCGGTCAAATACCACCTTTACATGTCAAAAGCATACAGTTAGACCAAATTCTATTATGTTTACTTTTTTAATGGATCAATAAAAACATACAGAAATCATATTTTTGTCCTCTTCCTTTCTCTCTCTCTCACTCACACACACACACACACACACACACACACACACACACACACACACTTTATATTGTCTAACATATCAGATGATGGTGTTCATTACATTTATGTATCTTCTCATGTGTGTTCTCCCCTTCTTTGTCCAGCCTTGAGCCGGCTTGTGACACTTTATAATGGAAAAAAATCAATGAAATGTTATTATATTAATAATTCATATTAACAAAGAGACCACATGCTTTGTAGTTTCCAAGCCGGAAAATGTCTTTTCTCGCAGTGTTTGTCCTTTTGTGGACGGGACTGATGGTCCACGGCAGTAAGTTCGAGTTTTCTGAGTTGATGAAAGCCAGTTTACACTAGATGAAGTTGTGACGTCTTTAAAATTAGGATTTCTGTTAATATAAATTCAATAATTTGTCATTTAAATAAATAAAAAATTCTGGTTCAAGGGTGGAATATGTACCTAATTAAGTATATTTACTCAAATACTGTACTTAGACTTGTGGTGTCTAAAGGGTTATAAGTTCAAATGATATTTTATCAACATATGTAGTGTCAGTAGTTCATGAGGCCCAAAGGACATAATTCTTCCTCTCGAATGTTTAAGTTAGGGGTCTCTCGATGGCCTCTTGACCTCCCCCTCGAAACCCCCCCGATCTCCCTCTTTACATTGCTCATCTGTATTAGAACCAGATGTTTCATTACTATATTCTGGAATAAACAACAGACCTATAAAAACCTGTGTCCGATGCATAATAGATAGAACAGAGCTGTTCATTTTGGCTGGATGCTCTCCAAGCACCGCGGTGCTTGTATTGATGCTGGACTTTTTTATATAATCACGACGGTGTCAGCTGACTTCTCTTCAATACATCTTCACTCACAAGATTGGGTGCTGGTTTGTTCGTTGAGGCTGTGTGTGTGTGCTGTCTGGTCGCACCATGAAGGACCTTGTGTGTGTGTGCCATGCTGTGTTGATGTTTGGGGTGATATTCCGTTCTAAATTTGGTTTTATTGCGTTGTGGACAACGCAATGGGGGAGTTTGAGTGTAATAAGGGAAGATAGAAAATAGGAAGTTAAAGTAAAGGAAAAGGAAGAGATGTAGAATAGCCTACTTAGTAACGAGAAGGTGAGCTAAAAATCTATGCAAGATTAATGGAGATTGGGCTCTCAACTCCTTAACGGTAAGACATGTGTAAATTAGACACTGCGTGAAAGTTGGCTTTAAGGAATAGTCGAATTGGATTAAAGGAAAAAGAGAGTGACAACCCTGGGCCCAGGGAAATTGGCTTGAATAAATAAGGGATCGAAATAAGGAAAAAAGGAATAGGACGCCGCTGATTTGGACAAAAGCCCTCTGGGAGGCGGTTTTAGACGGGGCACAAATCCTGGAAAGTCACTAGGTGAATTTCAGGTCAGTTCAAGGGACTGGAAGGTGTAGAATGAAAATTCAATTGTAAGTTCCCACTCAATACACTAGTTGACGAACGGTGTCTGAAGCAGCCTCTCATTGAATATCTACACCTCAAGGTAGCAAAAATTTAGAAAGGAAAAAAGATAAAGGAAAAAGGAAAAAAGGAGCGGCGGAAGCATGCTATAGGAACAGTATGAATGAATTGATTTAGAGGATTTAGAGTTGAATGCTGTTTGTGTTTTTAAGATGGTGTTGAATTTGCTGTGTGTTTTGTGACTTTGCTATGCATTTTTGCTGCTGGATGACTAGTTTTCATGTGTGTGCGTGAGAGACAGTGATCGTGTGTGTGTGTGTGTGTGTGTGTGTGTGTGTGTGTGTGGAGCGCTGTCTCTGCTGTGTTCCAGCTGTGTGTGAGATCATGTCATGATAAGATTTTATATTAGATAGATGTATATATGTTTTGGTTGAGAACAATTCAATTTCAATTCAATTCAATTCAATTCAATTTTATTTGTATCGCGCCAATGAATAACAGAAGTTATCTTAGGACACTTTTCAAATAGAGCAGGTCTAGACCGAACTCTTTATAGCATTAATTACAGAGACCCAACAGTACCACCATGAGCAAGCACTTGGCGACAAGGGCAAGGAAAAACTGCCTGTTAAAAGGCAGAAACCTAGGACAGATCCTCCGGCTCTAGGTGGGTGGTCGTCTGTCTCGACCAGTTGGGGTGAGAGAGAGAGAGAGAGAGAGAGAGAGAGAGAGAGAGACAGACAGACATACAGACAGACAGACAGACAGACAGGTGCACAGCAACAACAGTATTGGCAATGGCAATCTAGCAGGACCATGGCAGGAGGCTCCACCAGGATCGATAAGAACCTGCGAGACGAGAAAGCACAAGAACTCCGGGGAAGAAGTGAAGTTAGTAACATGCATTAATGGGACATGAATGAGTGCAGAAAGAGAGAGGAAGGGAGGAGCTCAGTGCACCATGGGAAATCCCCCGATAGTCTAGGCCTATAGCAGCATAACTAAGGGATGGTTCAGGACTCACCTGATCCAGCCCTAACTATAAGCTTTATCAAAGAGGAATGTCTTAAGCCTACTCTTGAATGTGGTGAGGGTGTCTGCCTCCCGAACCACAACTGGAAGCTGGTTCCACAGGAGAGGAGCTTGGTAACTGAAGGCTCTGGCTCCTGTTCTACTTTTAGAGACTATAGGAACCACAAGTAGTCCAGCATTCAGAGAACGTAGTGTTCTAGAGGGGTAATAGGGTACTATGAGCTCTTTAAGATATGAAGGGGCCTGACCATGAAGAGCTTTATAGGTGAGGAGGAGGATTCTAAATTATATTCTACATTTTACAGGGAGCCAGTGCAGAGAAGCTAGTACAGGAGAGATGTGATCTCTTTTTCTAGTTCCTGTCAGTACTCGTGCTGCAGCGTTCTGAATTAATTGGAGCGTTTTAATGGACTTATTGGGGCAACCTGATAATAAAGAGTTGCAGTAATCTAGCCTTGAAGTAACAAATGCATGGATTAGTTTTTCTGCATCTGTCTGTGATAGTATGTGTCTAATTTTTCTAATATTACGTAAATGAAAGAAGGCAGTCCTAGAGGTTTGCTTTATGTGGGAGTTAAATGACAAATCCTGATCAAAGATAACTCCAAGATTTCTGACAGTGGTGCTAGAGGCCAAGGTAATGCCATCTAGATTAACTATATCTTTAGACAGTGAGTCTCTAAGGTTTTTGGGGTCAAGAACAAAAATGTCTTTTTTTTCTGAGTTTAACATCAGAAAATTGCAGCTCATCCAGGATTTTATGTCCTTAAGACATGTTTGTAATTTAGATAATTGGTTAATTTAATCGGGCTTAATCGATAGATATAACTGCGTATCATCTGCATAACAGTGAAAGTTAATGGAGTGATTCCTAATAATGTTGCCTAAAGGGAGCATATATAAAGTAAATAATATTGGTCCAAGTACAGAACCTTGTGGAACTCCATGACTAACTGTAATATTTATTGAAGATTCATCGTTAACATGTACAAACTGCGAACGATCTGATAAATATGACTTAAACCAGCTTAGTGCAGTTCCTTTAACGCCAATTTGATGCTCAAGTCTCTGTAAAAGAATATCATGGTCAATGGTGTCAAATGCAGCATTAAGATCTAATAATACAAGTACAGAGACAAGTCCATTGTCAGAAGCAATCAGAAGGTCATTATTAACTTTAACCAGAGCTGTCTCTGTGCTATGATGAACTCTAAATCCTGACTGAAAATCCTCAAATAAACTATTGTTATGTAGAAAGTCACACAACTCTTTGGCGACTATTTTCTCCAGAATCTTAGAGAGGAAGGGGAGGTTAGAAATCGGTCTATAGTTGACTAAAACCCCGGGGTCAAGAGTGGGCTTTTTAAGAAGGGGTTTAATTACAGCTACTTTAAAGGACTGTGGTACATATCCTGATAATAAAGAAAGATTAATCATATCCAGTAAAGAAGTGCCAATTAAGGGAACAACTTCTTTAAGCAGCCTAGTTGGGATCGGGTCTAATAGACAGGTTGATGGCTTCGATGAAGAAATTATTGAAGTTAACTGATGAAGATCAATAGCAGAGAAACAGTCTAAATATATATCTAAGTTTACATTAGTTAAAGTCCCTGAACTTGGAGAGCCACTGATAACTGTTGATAGCAGTTGGTGATTAATTTTCTCTCTAATAGTAATAATTTTATTATAAAAGAAGCTCATGAAGTCATTGCTACTTAAGTTTATGGGGATATCTGGCTCAATAGAGCTGTGACACCCGCAAAGTCAAGGGATTTGTGAAAAAAATTAATGGTGTTTTGAAAAATCGCATTGTCAAGATCTGCCAGCACACGGGTCTAAATTGGATAGCGGCACTTCCTTT